TGCTACTTTATTCACACTGTGACTGTGCTCTCCTGTCATTAAAAATGTATGAACGTTGACATATGATGCAATTCACATCATTATAATTATTATTATTAATTAAACAGAGACGGCAACTAATGATTATTTTCATTTTCAATTAGTCATTTGGTCTCTAAAATGTCAGAAAATAGTGGAAAATGTCGCTCACGGTTTCCTAGAGCTGAAGATGATGAGTGTTACTTTTGACCAACGGGTTAGTTAGGAAAGTTATTGAATTTACTATCATAGAAGACAAAGAAACCCCTCAAACATTCACATTTGAGAAGCTGGAACCAGTGATTTTCTTTCATTAAAACATGACTTTAACAATCAATCTATTATCAAAGTTGTTCCTGATCAATTTTCTTACAACTGACTATTCATCTAGTTGTTTGAGTTCTACATTAAATGTTAGTACAATACGTTCCATAGCCATCTAACCTGGATTTTGGCTGTAGCCATAATTGTATCACACAATTTTCTCTCACATCAAAGAAACAATTCCTCTGTCAGCCATGTTTCCAATCATACATCTCATTGTCTTTCATTATGTTTCTCTGTGCTACATAAATGCTACCATCGCTTCATATGAATCACCTTAAATTGCATATTTTGTAGCACCCAATGGACCCAGTGGAGCAAAGGAGGGCGTGGGTGAGAGGAGCTGCAGCAAGTGACAGCTTCCTCCTGAGTCAATCTCTCAGACTTGCGTGGAGAATAATGTCTGAAGCAGAGAGCTCAGCAGTCCTTCAACTACATCACTGTCGCTCATTTCACCCTTGTTGAACTCACACTACCATTTCCACCTTTGGCAATTTCGCACCGCGAGTAAAGTTGAGAGACAGTGACCATGGATACAAATGAGATAAAGAGGGACGCAGAGAGATAGACGCTGCAGATAAAATGTTAAATGTGTGTGTATGTGTGTGCGTCTGTTATCAGAAGAAAGAACATTAGAGAGGAAAAGAAATAGAGATATCATATGTAGGACAACAGACTGATGTTTATTTTCAGTGTTGACTATTCTGTTTTTTTATTGCTTAATTGTTTGGTATATAAAGTGTCAGAAAATAATATAAAAATTCCCATCACAAGCTCAAGATAACGTCTTTAAATGGCTTGTTTTGTCCAATTGTGTTAAACTTAACAGACTTCACTGACAATGATATCAAAAAGAGAAAAGCTAAAATTCCTTGTGTTTGATAAGCTCAAACCAGCAAATGTTTGGCATTTTTCCTTGATGACTTAAATCATTGATCGATTATCAAAATTGTTGTCAAAATAGTTTTCTTACTTGCCTTTTTCGCTTTTCATGCAAAGGCTCATTTTGTATCCTAGCTTAAGTGATAGAGAGAGCTACAGACAGACAGAGAGAGAGACAGTGAGAAATACCTGAGGCAGTGATGTAGAACTTCAACTCCAACTAGACACGTCTGCTAAAAAAAAAAAAAAGCATGGAGAGGCAAACATCGCCATGTCTCTCAGCTTTTTCTTCCTCTCTCCTCTTTAATCTGACAGCCCACCCCCCTCTTTCTGTCTCTCTTACTCCCTCTTTGTCTCTCTGTCTCTGCCTCTGTCCCCCTGAGCTGTGTTCTGTGTGTTCCATCCCCACCTCCCTCCATCTCCCTGCCTCTAATGTGCTTTGGCGTGTGTTACCCACGGGTGCTTGCGCGCTGCTGCCGCCATCCTAAAGCCGGGTCAGGGGGGCAGCTGAAGCGGCGCGATGCTGTCCGTGACATCATCAGTCACTGCTATTACTCATGCCTCACCTCCCCTCACTGTCTGAAAGTGCCAGGGCTTTAGCTGCTTTGGTGGCAGGCCGGGCGCACACACACACACACACATACACACAAACAAACACGCACACAGATTTACACACATGTTGTCAGAGCTAAATAAAAACAGATTTATCCCCAAATTCTGTAAATCCAATTTGGAGATTTTTGTTTCCAAAAATAGGTCAGGCTCGCACATAGTTGAGATTAAAATAATTTTTGTATAAAATATTGATGCTTCATTGCAAGCAACTGCTTTGTCATAGTAGGTGTTAGTTTCCGAAATGTTGAATATCTTTTATGGAATTAAACTCTTAACACTTAACCTAAATGGACTATGAGATAGCATTACATTGCAGTTAGTAATTCAACACAAAATAGCTGATAATCAAAGTTATGTGTTTATTAATGAACACATTAATCATTTAGCAGATAAAATGTTTAGAAATAGAGAAACATCATATTTTCCCAAAGCCCAAGTTGACATCTTTAGATTGCAAAGGTGACTAAGAAAACCAGCAAATATTCACATTAAAGAAGGAACCAGTGATTTTATTTTGTATTTTTGCTTAAAAGATCACTAAACCATAATAAATCACCAAAACAGGATAAATTGTCTAAATATCGAGTAATCCATTAATTGACTAATCGTTTCAGCTCTAAATATGTGCTTTAATATATGTATCATTTTGTTTTATTAGGTTTCAGTAGCTGAAATGCTGAATATACATTTAGGGAATTAAACGCTTCATTTAATAATTCAGTTTTAACCTTAATGGACTACAAGATGGGAATGACAGTCAATAATTTAACATGATAGAATACTTCAGATGGTGTGGTACACTGTCACTCATAGAAAAGTATGCTAAAAAACCTAATGTATATATACATGAATATTTTTTAAGGCAGCAACGAATGACTATTTTAATTATTGATTCATCTTAAAAAATTTTCAGTTGCTGAATTAAACGTTTAGGCCTATAAAATGTCTAAAAATATTGAAAAATGTCCAACACAACTTTATAGAGCAAAAAGAATAATGTTTGGTAGTTTTATTATGATTTATGGAATTCAGACAGCCAGTTTTGACCTAAAGGGATTAAAATGAAATGTTAATTCTGTTTAATTCTCACTGTTGTTAAAATACCTAATGTGGCAAACCCCCAACATCTGTCATCCATTTAAAGTGAAACATGCTGCTTTATAAATTGCATAGGATCAGTAGCAATAAATCCTCAAAGGTTTTATATGTATAATGTGTATGGATGTATGAGGAATCTCCAGATGGGGCTGCCCATACCCCTCTGCATGACCTGTAAGACTGTGCACAGCCTACTGTGTAAAAGTAGAGAAATGTGCTTCCATTCAGTGTGCATGTGTGTGAGGTTCAGACTGTGTCAAATCACCGCATCTGCCTTCAGCAGAAACACTCCTGTACCTTGGGGTCTGTCTGTCACCTCTGCTGTCAGCCAATAAAGAGGTGAGACTCTGCAAACTCCTTCACTCAGGAATACAGATAGCTGGTATAAAACGCTTGGCCTGTGTGTGGGAAGGCACTGTATAAATCATACATGACCAGCACCACCAGGCACCATATGCATACAGTACGGCGTTAATAACAGCCAATGTATATGGCTGCGTCTTTTTTGTCTCACTCCCCTGCACTCCCTCCATGTCCTCTTGAAAGCACCTGCAGCACTGAACTCAATGTGCCACAGAAAAAGACAGACAGGGAGAGACAGACTCAAAAAAAAGAAAGGAGGGTGAAGGGTTGGGGGAATGGATAAACCAGACGACAATGACAGAATAATGCCGTTTGGAGTATAAATACCTAAAGGCAAGAACATTCGCAGACGAAAATTACGAGCAAAAATTGCATGGGGACAAATAAAAGACATGAAAAACATGAGGCAAAGTAGGACGGCAAAATCGACGGCGTGACGGAAAGACAGACAGACATATTAACTAAAAGAGACACGAGAGAGACAGAGACAGACAAATAGTGAGCAGGAAGAACAAAAGATGAAATGATGGGAAGGAAGAGAGTGGAAGGGGATAAAGAAGGACAGACTTTGAGCCAGACAGAGGAAAATGAAGAGATACAGAGAGAGAGAGAGAGAGAGAGAGGCAGGCAGAATTAGAAAAAGATAGAGGAGGCCAATGAGACAGAGGCGCAGGGTGGCAGTGCGCATGCTAAAATAGGTGGCAGACTCTTGTCAGTGCAGTGACCTAGTAGCGCAGGACTGAGGAATTCTGCCTGTCGACCAGGACACATTCCTCTGGTCCTCAGACTTTAACCCATGCCACACCGCCATACAGTGCTGCATTGGCTTACATGGCTTCTCTGTTCCTGACACATGAAAAATATTACCTATATTAACAAGTCTCTCACATGCTACTGCCCCTACACAGTTTATAAAGCAGCATTAACAAGTCCCATTTTGAGTGGGAGCTGCGAATGATGAAAAATATCAGCACAGCTCAGCAGCTAGCTCTGAATCAACGGCCTGTGCCGCCTGCAGAGATTGTGTGTGCATATGTGTGCATACGTCCCTGCAAAAACACATTGTGAAAAAATATCAGGGCAAGAAGGGCTCTATTGTGTTGCAGAGGCAGAATGTAGCTCTTATTCTCCTGCTGCTGGACCGGGGGCATGGGATGACATCAGCACAAAGACAAAAATGTAATGTGAGGCATCTCCAAAGCGAGCTTCAAGGCTAGACCACAGGCCGCCCTTTATACCCGCACTCCCTCACTTTTCAACAGCATCTGATAATCGGGATGTGACCAACAGATGACCCTTCCACTTGTTGCTTACTGAGATAAGTCACAGCCAACTGTGTTACACCAAACTGACTCAAATAGGCGTGCCAGCAAAGTGGAAGATTGTCTGCTTGCTGCTTCTACGTAGGCCCACAGTTAGCACATATCTGTGAGGTTAATCACGACAGAATGACTCAGGGAACAGTAATTCAATTATTCTGATGGTGCATCGACATTTCGATCGGGCCACGGACTAAAATGGCTGACCAAGTGTTCCTAACTGCTGAGTGCCATTAAGCAAACATCTAGTCAGTAAAGCACTTGGTTTTAAACAAACCTATACATAGACTCAATCTCTGGGGAGACGTGGAAAGTACAGGATCTGTTGCTTATTCTTGATCACTTTTTAATGAAATAAATGTTCAGTAAATACTTCCTTACCTGATAAAAACCACATCTTCAATGAAAAAGTTCAGGTTGTCTCAGAGGCGCAATCTGAAAAACAGATACACATACATATATTATTTGCATTATAATTACTTTGTGAATTGTAGGTACTCCATAAAGCATGATTTATTTATTATTTATTCCATATATATGATTTATGAATCGATTCTGGATTATTTGTTTATTTTGTTGTTTAATTGTCTGTTAAAATGAATCCAGCCCCATTCTTCACTTTAATTCACTCGTTACCCTTGCTGTATATTTAACCATATGATTACTTCAATCAAATGATTATCATCTAGAGAATACATGGCCTTACATCTATTGTCTCAATAACCTCCATTAAATATAACCCTCCTGATTCGTGCAGTCAGTTCATTGTACAATCTGTATTTCACAGCAGGCCTGTAAGGATGTTGTACTGGCACGAGTCACTTTGTCGGTTTCCAGCCTAGAAAAAAACAAATTCAGCAGCACAAATTCAAACCTGCTAGACACAATGGCAGCTTGCATGGGAATTCCTGAGGTCTGTTCGATCCATTACTGTATGCTGCGGTTGAATGTCATCAATTATGAATGAGAAACACACGAGATTCACAGAGGGCTCGTCAGAGAAGCAGGGGTCATGGCAGTGGGGCTGTAGTACCTTGAATATTCGTAACTGTGTGAAGTCAGATCTTTGCACACTTTATAAGCAAACCAATTATTATTATTTTAGATTAGAGGTTGAATTCAATCAGAGATGAGTAAATAATTTAAAGTTGAGTAAGAACAAAGAGGTTAGCCTTTAGCTTTAGTAGGATAAGATGAGTTTTGCCAAATTACAGGGGAATGCCAATAAACTTTACAAATGAGGCAAACGACCTGCAGCAAACTGTTCCTACAATTGGCCAGATTATTCTGTTTCCTCAGCCTTTAAGTCCATATGTGTGGATACTGCAGTATCTTTATGCAGCCAGGGCCTCTTCCCCTTTAAGGCCCAGAGTGTGTTGACCCTGCCAGTGAGTTCATACCATAAGCAGACCCATATAGCTTCTCCTCCAGAGCCCCTGATCACGACCCTGCTGAGCTGCCGCCTCGGTTATGTAAGATTACATAACACCAGGTCTGTCTGAGTAATATTTCACAAACCTGGAGGTCCACTACACTGGCATTAACATCAAATCCCCTCAGGAGTGGAATCAAAGGTGCTAGGCAGGGTGGTAACGTAAAAATCAAATTTGAAAACAAATAAGAGCAAGTTATAGGCTATAACTTGCTCTTATTTGAGCTATGGGGGGATTTGTTTCTCCTAACCTTCCTGTGTCTTTGGCAGACATCAAAGACTTTTCCCTTCATTTTCTTGAAAACCACAGTGGAGGTCACAGAAAGGCTGAGCCTAGGACACTACTAAACAAAAGCATCCTCCCCCTTGGCTTATCACAGAATACAGTAATGCCGTCTGCCCATAAATGTCATATCATTGTGTTTTAATCAAATCATTGCATATGGATTAATTTAGCACGCATTTAGACACTGAACACTGTTAGAAAACTAGGCCAGTAACTGTTATCTAACAGCCTCTGCTACACAATTTGCTAATTATTTCCACCCATATCTAAAGTATGTTTTTTAAAAATGATTGCACTGTTTTTAATCCAAACTTTTTTGACAACCATGTCCTCACTTATCTTCAATTACCTTGCTTTATTCACAAAAAGATGATAAGACAAGATTTTAAAAGACAAAAATGCCAGAAACTCGCACAAACAATCAAAAGGTGTTTCAGCGCTTATCGTTTAAAGTAACACACCAATAAAAATCATTGTCGGCGGGAGAACACACACACAGTCCCCTCGGAACGATACCAGTGGACAATCTTGGATATAGATAACAATTGTGGCAAGTGGTAGAGTAAATGTGGGCAGCGATAACAGGAGGCTATGTAAATAAAAAACAGAGCAGGCAGATATAACACAGGAAAGGGAAAAAAGAAAAGGGAAAGAGATATCTGAGGCTGGTACCGCAGGAGAAAAAGGTATACTCAACAGAGGTTACAGCGGATGGACTGCAAATGGACGACAGCAGACTTGCGTTATAATGTATGCCTCTGTGTACTGCCCAGCATTAAGCCCACTCTACTTACAGTACAATAATGCATTCAAGCAATACAATACTGCCGATATCTGTACATTGCAGATACGCAGTAAAAAGCCTCCGTTTATACCTGTAACTTCGCCACATCAAACAAAAGTAATCCCGCCCAAATGCGCAGGTTATAAATATTAAAGAACTTGTTGAAACTGACTCCAGTTTGTTACTTCGCTTACGCCCTGGAATAAAACCACCCTTATCTTTTGTTGATACCGAACCACATCTTGCACCGTGGGTTTTGTCTTTACAGGCGGACCAACAGATAGATTGGGGATACCCGGATGAAGGGATGGTAGATGGGATAGAAAAAGAGGGACAAGCATGGGAGGAGTAAAATATGCAATGAGAGAAGAAGAAAATCCTGCCGTACTTACAGTATTTTTACCTCTCCATTTCACCTCATTCTAGCACTTCTGTGTATTATATAACTACAACGTTGCATAGTCATTTCGTGAATACGAAACATGAAACGTGATTGTGCAAATCCACGCGTGCATAAGCAGGAGTGACCGTCCAACACTGCCGGCTCCATTAACTCTGAATCACGCCCCAACATACTAACAAACACATGCACAGATACACAGATACGCATGACTAATACAGATAGATACACACACAAATGCACACACCCTGCCTCCTTCATGTGCTAGCCTCCCATGCATGGGCCCCCTAAAACTGGGTCCACTCAGTGACCCGTTCCAAAGCCCGCATCTAAATGTGAGCAGAGGTAATCCTTCAAGCAGAGGCTAAGAGAACAGTGATAACCCATGATAAAGAGGAGCTGAAGGAGGAAAGAAAGACAGTGAAAGAGGTGGAGCGCAAGATGGGCTAGACAAACAGGATGGGGGGATTAGCGACCTAGGGAACACATTTTTCAAAAATGAAGCAAAAAGCAAGGTGGGGGAGAGGAGAACACTTTAAAGAATAAAGGAAAAGCAGAGAGGATGCATGTATGGGAAAGGAAAAGGACATGTACATACAGTATACTCACAGATGAATGGGGGGTGACCGGAAAAATTATAAAAAATCATGTCAAAAACCAAAAATGAAAGGCGAGCAGAGAGCGCAAGCAAGTTTGAAGAGAAGTCCAGTTTCTCCTCATTCTGGAGTTTTGTTTTTTCTCCTTTTTCCCGCGATTTTGGCAATTCCTATCCAGCCGTCCCTCCTTCCTAAGTCTATCCCCTACTGGTCCCCCTTCTTCTCTCTTCCCCCTCCTGTTTTTCTTGCCAGTGCCGGTACTCTTTCTCCTACCTCTCTCTCTCCCTCTCTTTCTCTGTCTTTCTCGCTTTCTCCCGCAGACCATGCTCTCCATTTTCCCCTCATTCTTTGCCTCTGTCCCCTTCATCTGTCCATTCTTCGGACACTCTTTTTTTCTTATACTTCAACCCTAAGCTCCCGCTTCAGAAAACAGAAACAATTTTAAAAGAGGCTTCTAAACAGGAGTCGAGTTCTGACTTGAAGAAAAAAAAAACAATGAAAAAAAAATTCTGCAGAAGAATAGAAAAAACTGTTTTCAGGAAACGGATAAGCAGATTGTGGCATTCAGGCAACGCAGGGACAATCCACGGCCTGCATTTTTCAGGGGCGCCACGCATAGTTAGGGTGAAGCGTCTGCGGGATGGTGCCTCAGTAAATGAGCGCATAACCAACAGCAAAGACTGGCAAGCAAGAGAAAAAGAAGGGGGAAAAAAACGAGCTTGTTGCGGTCGGTCTCCAGTGAAAGTGGGTAGTAAGCGCGCGTGAGGGGAAGGAGTGGGAAGGACTCCGGGGTGTGTGCATGTGTGTGTGTGAAGAGGTGGGAGGGGAGAGAAAGGAGAACCAGCAAGGAGAGAGAGAGAGAAACTGGGGGTTCGTGGAGAGATATCCGAGAGGGAGGGATAGAGGAGGAGTGTGTCGGTGGGGAGGAAAGAGGAGGGGGCAGGAATAGGAATACATTTTTTTTTTCTTTTTTATGCTCACGGTATTTGAATTTTGTGCTTTTCATTTTGTTTTCATCCCTCTGTTCCAAGGCTAATACCTTCTCTTTCTGTGAGAAGAAAACAGAGAGGAAGAAAAAAGGAGAGAAAGAGCTACTGTGTGCTTTGTCTCCCGCCCCTGCCGTTCCTTTTCCTGGTTTTCTTTCTGCTCTGACTCTCCTCTATTCAGCCTATTTTCTGCACGTGCACTTGAACTCTAAATCCTGTCTGCTTTCCCCTCCCCTCTCTCTCTCTCTCTAACTGCGCATCTGTGTGTCTCTGCCTCTCTCTCTCGCTCTCTCCTAGGCAGAGGCTTGAAATAGAGGGCGAGGGGGACAAAAAAGGAGAGAGAGATGTTGAGGGGGGGGAGGGGAAGAAGCTTAGACAGGCAGACACAGAGAGCACAGGGCTGCTCTGTGTGTGTGTGTGTGTGTGTGTGTGTGTGCATGCGTGCGTATGAACATGTCTGCACATTTGAAAACACACATTCATCTACCTTGGCTTTGGATGCAGTGTTTCACATGCTTTTGGTAATCTGCATTTGATGGTTAGCCTACACACCAGAAAAGAAGTACATGACTTTTTTGGGGTCAAGGAAATAAATAATTAAAACAGCGGGATTTTCTATTTTCAGCAGTTTGTAGCGTCAAACTACGCTTCTGACAAACTACTAAAAACAAGGAAATTCTTTGGAGACAATATACAATATAATTAATGCTGCAAGGAATGATTAGTTGTTCGTAATTAATTAATCCCCCTTTATTTTCTTGATTAATCATTCAGACAAATATTTCACAAATAAATGAAAAGTCTTATCTCAGGCTACCAGAGCCAAAAAGTGATGCCTTCAACCTGCTTACATTTTTTAAATGACGAGTAAAAAGCCAAAGGGATTCAACTTACAATGGAACGAGACACAGAAAAGCAGCAAATCCTCATATTTAAGAAGCTTTTTTTAAGCTGATTGTTTGGTATTTTTATTTTATTTATTTCAAAAATTACAAATAAAATGACTGTATTTTATTTTCAACTGACAAATCAACAAATTGACTAATTTCAGATTTATGTATTTTATTATTAAAAATATATGTCATATATCCATTTTAAACTTCAGTGAAAGCGTGCAATTATGACATGCACACATCAGATTGTATTTGTCTATAACTGTGGGTATCTTTTAATGCTAAAGAAAATAGTTGATGAATTGATTAATTCATCAATAAAATTAAAACCTTCACAATTCTGATAAAGAATAAATAATTCAATTAAATTATTAAGTTAGCATCTGCTGGTCACATTGAAAATAATACTAGCTTTCTGTGTTTGACATCAGTATGCAACAACCAATCTGCAGGTTTACTTGCTATATTATGCTTATTTAAGAAAACCTTGGTCTTATGTATTTTTTTTACACTAAAGTACAAAAGTTGCTAACAAAGATACTGTAAAATTGCGAGATTCTTCAAATTACAGTTTGTGTAAAAACTAATTTTGCAGCTATGCTGAATTTTCAATTCAGTTCACAGGTTGTCTGCAGACATTGTTACAGGTTGGCTGAGTGGGTGGGATGAATGAAGCTTTGAGATAATGTTATTACCTTCACTAATGTTATGAGAACAGGGGAGAAGGAAAGCAGGCCATGGGAGGTCAAGAGAGAAATGTGCTGAAAACCTAGTTACCTTGGAAGCTTTCTCTGTGTGCTTTCTTTAGACAAACTACATTTGTGCCGGGTGTGAGGGCTTTTATTAATAAAATACTGACAGCAGTCACTGCATACTGCTTTTTTCCCCAGGAGCAGCAATCACCTTGGCAAACAGAGGCCTGGTCACCACCTTGAATCTGAAAATATGGCACATTATTCATGCTGTTGTGGCAAACAGCCAACAATGATGAAAGAAAGCAGCTATATTTTGTAAAAAACGCTATCTCTTTATCATCCCTTTAAATGTATCATGATTTACAATAACTTATGAATTTGTTTTAGTCCATACACATTCACTGTGTCAGCCTAAAAGGAAGGAAGCTCAATTCAGCACAATAAAGACTAATAAACTGTATTTGCAGGCAGCAAATGCTCCTAGCTACGTTAACTGTTACTAACTCTCCACTAGTGGTGTCTTCCTCACTGAGGTGCTCTCTCCTCGCCTGCTGACTGCAGTAACGTTACACTTCTTGAACCCCCTTTGGGTCTGATAAAACTTGAGAACTGGGCTAGAGGTGTGGGAACAGGTGCCACAACACTACCCTCTGCTGGGATTCAACAGGAATAGCTCACAGACTAACATTGTTTAACCATCGATTTGACACATACTGCGTGATTAAAATATAACGTTACATGCGGAACATTACCGTTAGTTTTTGAATTGCTTTGGTTTAAAGGCTGGGTTAAGCAGGACTGTGAAGCTACTGGCGAGGTAAAACAAGGCTACAGGTATCATCTATTCCTAATGAGGACAGTATTCCCTCCCTCCCTCCCTCCCTCCTCAGCATCCTTCCTGTAACTGCTTCACCGCATGAGCTAAGTTACCATCGGCTAAGCTCCATCTCCACCCTGACAATCTGACTGTCGGCTTTGCAGGGTATATAAAAAGTAACATATGTGTTATTACTTGATAATGTGAGAGCTGTATGTATGGGTAACTGTCACTTAACCTCGCAGTTACTGTAGCTAGCTAGTAGCTAACGTTAGCAACAACAAAAAAACGAGTTCCAACGGGTGCGGCGGGCGGTGCATTTTGGCTCTGTGAACATTTAAAATATAACTTTACGCTCACCTCTGTCTCCAATTTGCCTTTTAGATGCCTAGTGTCACGGTGAAAGATGTCGACCAGCAGGAGTTTGTCAGGGCTCTGTCTGCTTTCCTGAAAAAGTAAGTAAAGCTTAAAACCAGCCTACACTGCATGTCTGGCTGATATTCACCTGTCAATCACACAAGGCTGGAAATGAAGGGCGGATAATTACACTCTAAAATAAGAGTTGACCATAATGTGAAAGTAATTACTTACTTGTACTTGTATTTATTTAAAGCTGGAGATACTGATTTTCTCATTTATAACAAGTGTTAATTACATAAAACTGTCATTAATGTTTTATTTATTAAAATAACATAATGGTTCTTTAGAATTGCACTGTAGAGCCACTATAATTTAAGATATAAACCACAGGAAATCTCTGTTAAAAGAGATGTAAAAACTTACCATAATGTACAGTTAGGCCACCAAACCTTTTAGGCCCTATATAAATAAATACACACAAGTGTATTTTTTATCATTTGAAATAAACAAACACTTGGACAAAGAAACAACCAATCTCATAACCAATTCTGTTTTGATTGACAGATACACATTTTTTCAGAAATATAACAGTCAATGAGAAGAATGTCCTGAAATACAAACGAAAACAGCAAATACTGTCTGTATTTATTCATATGATTTCACAATCCCTTATTTCATAATCCCTTATCTAATTTCAACCATATTGGGTCTCCTTAGACACGGGCACTGATATATATATCCTTCCTAAAGAGGATGTTGATGAAGTGGGCATTTAAAACATTCTTTAACAGAACCCAGATCCTGCGTGGTGCAACAGTAGAATATCTGAAACACAACTAACTACTCTTACTTATAATGTGACATCAGCTTGAGGTTTCAGAACACTATTAGAGAGCAAATATTGAAGACATTTGATTGTACTCACCACAGATAAAGAAATCTGTCTGTGAAATTGTTCATTTTCCTCAGAGCCTTTGAGCCAAATGAAGCATTTTCAACTGATAACAGTTATTTCTCATGATCAGAGAAGTTAATAAATTTCCTTCTAGTTACATTTTACTGCAGATAGTTGTGTGCTTTTTTAAGGGTGTCATCTTCTTTGATGTAGCCTACTACAGCACATGATGTTTGCATTGTATCAGGTTACTCGAGAGCTCTCATTCCTGCAGCTGAGATCAGGCACAGACCTGGTTCATATCTGCATAAAAGGATTGTGAGCACATTTGGATGACTATCATTTATTATAAGTATTGTAGTGATATCCTTTTAATGTTTATAGATGAGATAAGATTAACTTTATTATAGAGTACAGATACCCTATGACTTAAAATAATGCATGAAAAAACAAAAATCAAAGGTACTAATTACTTTATACACTAAGATTAATACTTACTATAATGTGTATTGAACCGTCCCAATGGTCCTAAACAAAGTGAGGAAACAAGGAATTAAATACAAAAATTGCATTTGAGGTAATGAAAATAGGTGGTTTGTCTTGGGTCTGCAGATAGCAGTGTGACAGGATTAAATAAGTGCCATAGCAAATGTGGGTATAAATACTGTATGTGGGCTACAGTACATGTGAGAAACCACAGTAACAGCCTGGGAGTCGGCAGGGAGGCTGAGGCGGAACTCTGCGCTGCAATTTCCTTCTGAGCCTCCTAAACATCATGGACACCCAGAAGTGTTGAGATGGACCTGCCTGCAGACAAGATGGCAGACGTCAACCACAATAGTCATTCGTATACAGGACATAGACAATGAATGTGTAAGAGGAGGAGGAAGAAGAAGACAGTACTGGAGTCTGTATAGAGGTAAATGCATGGTAAAACATCTGCTGCACTTGGAGTGCATTTAGAATAGAAAATACCAACATCAATGTATAACAAATAAAACCAGGCTTTCAAACTGGCATTTTCTGGAGCTATGTTAATTTCTACGAATCAAACTATTAAATGCTCCCGTGTGTGCTAATTAATATGTTGTGTTTCCAGGTGACTGTCGAAGGATTGATAGATAGTTGAAGGATAGATAGATAGATGTACATTACACATGACTTCAAATGACATCTTGAGTGATATCTTGTTTTTTCTTAAGAATTAAGAGAATTAAAAGATACTTTTAAAAGTAGCTAAAGAAATATTTATGTAGTTCAGCTGAGATAAGCTTTACATTGTTACTTATCTTACTGGGAATTTTTATGCAACTAATAATTTACATGACTGCTTACTGAGGTATAATGTCATCAATAACATACCGGCTAGCGGGGTCAGAGGGAGTGCTTACAAAGGTGTGTGATTATGATATGACTACACCATACTGCCAAAAACTTTTTACTCTCCATAAACTTTGTTAATTTTTGGTTAAGGTCACATATGGGTTGAAAATGTGGGTGTCCTTCAGTCTGGTAAACAGAAACTCTGAAATCCACATTCTTCTTTTCAACCATTTATTGAAAAAAACATCTTGATCAAATACAAAATGGTTAAAATTCTAACAAAATAAGCTACTTTAAACATAATACACAAGAATGATAAACACAAGAAGCACGGCAAGAATGGTAAGCATCATGGTAAGCATGGTGAAAGACTAGTGTGCTTTTAAGAGCTGCTTATTCTTTATTGTCTAAATGGCTCAGCTTCTACAAACTTTTCATCTGTTACAAGCAGCTGTGTACAAAATCAACACTCCAATTTTTAAACGTCTTTATTGTTTCAAATATCAAAAATTAACCAGAGATAATGGGAAAGGAAGAACAGTTGGTTGTTAGTAACTAAATAAATGCATACTTTCACTCTGTGTCTGATGAATTAATAGAAGAACCTTCACAAGCTCTGGTGGAGAGAAAACATCATACATGAACTTCATTTATTCCTCTTCAGTAGCAGTAAACAACAACAACACACAGGCAACATTTAGGACTGACAAACAGGCTGCAAGAAACAGCATAGCAGCCACTCCTAGAGCAGCGTTGCTCCACTACAACACAGGTAGCCTACCTACACACATATGCGTTGAATGAATCCCATTTTCGTGTGCCTTATGTTGTTTGAGGAAACGGTCCATCACATGAACTGATAATTGATTTTCAGGTCTGGCAAACTGAAAGTCCCAGAATGGGTTGACACTGTGAAGCTCGCCAGGCACAAGGAGCTGGCTCCCTGCGATGACAACTGGTTTTACACCAGAGCAGGTTGGTTATGCTGGAAGTGTTTCCCATACATCAATTCATCTGTTGCAGCTGAAACGATGAGTCGAGCAATTAATTGGTTGGCAGTAAATATTATTAAGAGCTTTTATTTTAGTAGTTGATTATTCTTTCAAATATTTTACCAAATATAAATGCAAATAAGCAGTTGAATCCAGCTTCTCTAATGTTAGGATTTGCATCTCTTTTTAAAACAAATCTCAAACTGTACATTTTATAGACTTGCTTGATTCATCTGAACTGAAAATATTAATTAGGAATTAAATAGTTGTAAAATTATTTATTTTATTTGTAAATTACGGAAGCCCTAAGTGGCCATCCATTCAAATATTTTTCTTATTCTGTTTTCCTGTGATAACGGGATAATTATCTCAAGATAAAAAAACAGTAGTTTTACACAGGGGTTGGCAGGAATGTTTCTTAATGATAATTTCAAAGAGGTTTTCATTGTCAGTGAGTAGCTCAGTTGGTAAGGCAAGGCAAGTTTATTTGTATAGCACATTTCAACAACAAGGTAATTCAACGTGCTTTACATACAACATAAAAGCAACAAAGGGAAATAAAAAAAATGAAACAGATTATAAAAACAGGATAAAAAACAGGGTAAAACAGGACAGTAAAAGTTACAGTGCAGTGTACTATCAGGGCACTGAAAATCTAAAAACAAAGAAAATGAAAACCGGACATTACAGTGAAGTGAAAGGTACCAATCTATGGCTTTAATTTAATTAATTAAAAGCGGTGGTAAAAAGAAAAGTCTTCACTCTTAATTTAAAAGAACTGACAGTTTCAGCAGACCTGCAGTTATCTGGGAGTTTGTTCCAGATATAATAATAACTGAACGCTGCTTTTCCATGTTTAGTTTTGACTCTGGGGACAGAAAGCAGATCTGCCCCAGATGACCTGAGAGGTCTGGATGGTTCATAACGAAGCAGAAGATCAGAAATGTATTTTGGCCTAAACCATTTCGTGCTTTATAAACTAACAGCAGGATTTTAAAATCCATTCTCTGACACACAGGAAGCCAATGTAAAGAACTGGAGTGATGTGATCCACTTTTTTGATCTTAGCAAGGACTCGAGCAGCAGCGTTCAGCTGCAGCTGTCTAATGGATTTCTTAAGGAGCCCTGTAAAGACACCGTTAACAGTAGTTGAGTCGACTGAAGATAAATGCATGGATAAGTCCTCTAATCCGTGATATATTCTTCGGGTGATAGTAGGCTGACTTTGTAATTGTCAATGTGGCTCCTTAGATTCAGGTCTCAGGTTTTTTATAATCCTCTTCAACAAAGTTCTTATGAGGAGACTGTTTCACATGCTCGCAATAAAGCATGTGCTGGACTTTGTGCATCCCAGCAATTGGTCCAAATCCATCAACCCATGGACTATTTATTTTATTCAGTCCCAGGCAGAGGAAATTCCTGTGCTTCTCATTCAGTAGAATCCATTTAACGTTCCACATTTCCTGACGGCTAATTCAGAACCTTTGAAATAGCCGTCGGGAAATGTGTGATTGGATTCCCCTGAATCTCTTTGTATCTCTTTATATATCATGGAAAGTGGGATTTTAACATGCAATCCTTTGGTTTGTTATCTTGAGAAAATTATCCGTTATCACAGGAAAATTGAGTAAAAAAAATATTTGAATGGATGGCCGCTTAGGGCCTCCGTTGTAAATACTTTTATCCTACCGTTTAGAATCCATGTGATATTTGATTATGCCCAAAGCACTTGTGTAATATTGGTACATACTGGAACATACTGGTACAATATATACAATAAATGCATATGCACACGATCCTCTCTCAGGTGCTTTGTATGTTATCTACTCAGGCATATTGACCCACAATAGCATAAGAGTCTGCAGAGACAAATGTCACATATTTGATAAGCTGGAATGTTTGATTTTGTGGGTGAACAAGTCAGGAGGGTTACAGACAAGACAAGCAAATATTGCACCATATACTGTCTACTATTTGTACGTCTCATCAGCATCCACAGCTCGTCACCTATACCTGCGAGGAGGGGTCGGCGTGGGCTCCATGATCAAGGTCTACGGAGGGCGTCAGAGGAATGGTGTATGCCCCGCCCACTTCAGCGTGGGCTCCAGGAACGTGGCGAGGAAGGTCCTCCAAGCTCTGGAGGGCCTCAAGATGGCAGAGAAGGACCCAAATGGGTGAGAGAGAGGGATGCTGTGAGACTTAAGAAGGGATTTGAATAAGTGATGGATGTGTGTTTTTTTTAATTTTTATCATGTGGTTACAGTGGACGGAGACTCACATCTCAGGGCCAGAGAGATCTGGATCGGATCGCTGGTCAGGTGCGTGCTTGGACTTTGAATAGATGTAGTACATTTATATGCATGAGCCAACTTGAAGATTCTGTTGTTATCCTGTCCAAAATTATCTTGGTATATATTATTTCAGTAATTACTTAAGTAAGATGACAGTCAGTAATACATCACACTTTAAAGAGCATCCTAAAAAATCTTCAGAATAGCCTATCTATTCAGATTCAAATTGCACATACTATCAATTTCACTCAATTGATACTATAATTAAGTGACCATACATATAATTTACTATCTAAAAAGTGGATATAGTGTTACATTACTCTTAAATGAAATAATTTGACTAAAACACATTTTAAACAAAAAGGTAAGAAGAACATGTGTCAGCTCATTAAAAAACAACAGTCATTTTGTAGATCATTCCTAAGTGACTTGTGCATTTAGACTCAATAGAAACACAAGCTAGATGACATGATTGCCCAACACCTTAGTAAGACACTTGATGTTGGTTTTAGATGCATGTGTATGTCTACCTGTGTGGCACAAGAAGAGCTCCCTATTGTGGTCTCTGTCAATAATTGCCATAAAGACAATGATTAAACTACCAACTATGCTGAAATGTTTGCATTTCTGTAGTTAAGTTAGATATTTATTGACCCTGAATTATTTTCATGACCAGTGCACATGCTTCATCGTGCGTTGATACGGCATGACTCCCCTCTGATCCCTCTGTCTATTTCCTTTGTATGTTTAGGTTGCCTCGGCAAACAAGAAACAGCGGAGTTTACAAAGCGCCATCTGAGGAATGCATGCAAAGAATCCAGACACGTGAAATGCAGAAATGCCTTACTGCTTATTTACTCGAGTTTGCTTGTCTCCCATATCACTCCAGTGCCCACAGTAGCCGAGTGCTAAAGGCAGTTCATAGAGATGCATGTGTCTATGGTAAAATAAGTATAAATTAATTATAATACATGGATGTTTTGCAACAGTTTTTTATTTAAAATTCATTATGAATTTTAAGACAGCACTGGCCTTGTGACAGCAAAACAGAATGAACACAGAAGCACCAACAATACAGTATTACCAAGCAAGAGCATGCTAATATTGTTTTGCCAACAATCGTAAAAGTCAATGTGGTAAAACCAAACAAATGCAATGGATACTAATGGATATTTTATTCATTTATCCAATTCTTTCTCTTAACTGTTGGTTACAGAATATTATGCCTAAACATGTTATTTATGAGATGTACTGTATATGAATGACTCAATAATACAGGTGTTCCAAATAAACACAATATGGGCACTGAGTGTGGTGTCAGCTTGCACGTGGGTTTATGGCTGACACGTGGGTTTATGGCTGACTGTATGCGTTTAGTTGTTGCTCATGATGGTGCTGATCCAGCTGTTGTAGCGGCACACACGGGCGTAGACGCTGGGGTGTCCCTGCATGGCGCAGTCATAACCCCAGGACACGACTCCCTGCAGCTGACCATTACACACCAGAGGTCCACCAGAGTCTCCCTGCAAACACAAGCAGAATAAGAGTAACAGGGGTTTAAATGTTATCAGAAGTGGTCACAGTGAACGCATGAAACGTTCTGGTATTATAGTGAGCACAGTGACTCAAAAAGAAGAGGCAACACACCTTTCTGCAAATGTTTGTATTAAAGAGTAATTTAACACCGTGCTGAAAAGCATTGTTTTGCTGCCTCTCTGGTTTCAAGCCAGTTTCACCTTTGGGTGTGGTCAGATGATTGCTTTTTTTTGCACGTGTAACCAGCAAACAGTGATGTCACAGAATACTGGAGTACACCTGTAGATGTTAGTTCTACTGGATAGAAAAGTAAAAATGAAAGACGGACATGTACATATACAGTACTGTGCAAAGGTTTTAGGCTGTTGTGGAAAAAATGCTGGAAAGTAAGAGTGCTTTCAAAAACAGACATGAGGTGACCTGAGGTGAGCAAAGACACGTTTTATAGGGGTGGGGGGGGAGTTAAACTTTTTAGTGAGGAAAAAATATATTTTCTTATCATTACTGTTGATAATCAAAACTAGGAGCTGGTGGGTGTACAATTTTCTTTCCCAGCATAAGTAAAATATAAAAATATATATATTGTAATATAGTGTATTTTCTCAACAATCAATTGAGAAATAGTTTATAGATAAAATAATAAGATAGGTATGTCTGTTTTTTTGTTAATCCAGTGAATTAAATTCTCAACAAATGGAATCATCACACTGATTTAAAACTCCTGTAAATCCAGTACTGCCTGAAAGCAGTCCCGTATACCGATTTGCGGCATTGCCCACAATGACCTAATTCACTAAAAAACCAGAAGAGGGAACATGTTCAGAGGGTTAACGTGTCTCTTGCAATACTGTTTCATCATCTCATCGAAACAGACAGCAGCCGGTTGTAATAAATAAAGTGGGGACACTATGAAAATGTATCCCTCTGTTTTTAATTATAACATATAGTGAAGTTGTGTATCATTTGCATTTAGGAGTAAGTCGAGGCTCAGTGAAAAATAAGTGCTATACAGTCCACCACCGGGTCCCAGGCTCTTTGTACTGCTGGAAGAAATGCACACTCATGCACCACCCTACTCCCTGCGTGTTCCCTTTGGTTTATTCCAACTCACTTGGCAGCTGCTGGCACCTCCATGTATGAATCCAGAGCAAACCATGTTCTCGGTGAAGAGGTGGGAGTAGGCGTTCCTGCAGATCCTGTCGTCGATGATGGGCTGCTTCAGGCACTGCAGCCTGTCAGGAAAATCATCTGGGGAGCGAGAAGGCAAGTCTCAGTACTGTACCCACCATTATGTAAATACTACATTTACTCTGTGACATGGGAATAATGTGGTATTTAGTATGAGTAATCTAGTGATCAGTTTATTTGTAGATGGAAAATTAATGGACTCATGTTTTGCAAATTAATCCTTTATTTATCAAGTGAAAAGTTTGGGGTTTGCCACTTCTCTAATGTGAAGATTTGCTGCTTTCCTCTGTTTTATATCACTGGGTAGTTTTTAAAAAGAAATCTGAAAATTTATGGACAATTAATTAAAAATTTAAAAATTAAAATAAAAAATCACTGAAACTAGTCAATAAATAAACTAATTTCTTGCAGCATTCATTTGTTGGAGCCCCAAATGATGAGGTCTACAGCTGCATGTCACAGTGTATGATTGAAAAACACAACAGTAGACTAGGCCTTTAATGCAAAGTGTGTGAAATCTATTTAGTATTGCACTTTAGTGTTGCAAGCCGTTTTCATTTTGTATTTATAACTTAAAACTTACTAGTGGCTATTTAAAAGCTACTAGTACTTATTTATTAGTAACTAATAACTATTCCATTAGCTAACTATTCCCGTTTTACTAGCAACAATTGATTGGATACTAGTACTTAATTTTCAGTGACTAGTAACTATTTTTTAGTTTCCAATTGCAGATTTTTGCCATTGAAATCAATGGGCTCTGCAGTTCAGATATCACCTATTCATTATTTACTAGTAACTATTTCCATTTTATTAGTATGTATTATTTAAATACTAGTACCAATTCCTTAGTAAGTAGTCATTCATTAATGACTAGTAAAATGGCTTATTGACAGTAACATTTTAATTTTTACTACTACTACTACTAGTAACTAAAAAATAAGAACTAGTATCTAAATAGTAGACACTAGTAAAATGGAAATGACTACTAGTAATCAAATAGTTACTCATAATAATGAATAGGTGATATCTGAACTGCAGAGCCCCATAGATTTCAATGGCAAAAATATGCAATTGGTAACTTAAAAAATAGTTACTAGTAACTAATGGAATAGTCACTAGTAACAAATAATAAATAAGTAGGCCTACTAGCACGGGTGGACTGGCCATTGTGGCGTTCAGGAGCAAATGCATTGTAGTTTTTGAGTATACTTAAGTATTTTAGTCCTCTGACTGACTCAGGCTTGCCTGACCTGGTCTTGTTCAGTGCAGAGCTGCCTTGCTTATACAAACTGAAGAGGCAGGTGTCATCCTGAAGTTTCTTGAAGGTCTTCAGCATAATCTGATTCACTGTATACAAGAAAAACACTAATACTTTAAATAACTATTAAAATAAAAATAAATAAAAAATTAAAATAACTGCTAAAAATATTTATGCCCGCCCCCAAAAGGGCGCTCGCATAAAAAGCCTCTCTGTACATCCCTGACTACTAGTTGCTTTAAAATAGCCATTAGTAAGTAAATAAAGAATAAATGTTAAAACGACTTGCCATACTTTAGGGGGACTTGTGAAAAGCAACCCTTTCATTGGGCTTTTTTCTTATGTGATCAGGACTCATTCACGTTTATCACGTCTGTTTTCTTCGAATATCTCAAATATATGCATGAGTCATTCTACCTGGACACCAAGCAGTTCTCGTCGGCCACGGGGCAGCGAGAGGGCAGGGCCACCGTCTGGACGTCGCTGTTGAGGGTGGCGGGGCGGCTCAGTTTGATCAGCATGATGTCGATGTCCAGGTTGTTGCTGTTGTACTGGGGGTGCTTGATCAGCTTGGCAGCATCAATCCACTGCTCTGTGCCCTCATTCGCAGAGATGTTGTGCTCACCAAGACGGACCTGGACACGGCTAGTGAAGGTAGGAAAGTTAGATGGTTTAAAAATCACTTTTTTCTTAAAATTGATTTCTTCATACTGTATTTATTTAAAGATATTACACAATTAACAATGACCAAGTAGAGAGGAGTGTTTTAAATTGAGAAAGGGTGTGTTTTATTTCTTATTAATTAATTTTAATTTGTAGATATGGATATTGTGTTTTTTTAATTCTCCAAGAGCATCTCCTAATAAAGTTCAGAATCAGGAAGAGCATACAAGTACGAGGAATTTGGTTTAGTGATAAGGTGGGCTATATGCCTATAGGTAGGACTAGACAAATAAATGTAAAATAGGCTATTTAAATATGGAATAAACAGATACACAAGTTTTAAAAGAATAATAACTATGTGCAGAGAAAGAACAATGTGGCAGATATTTATGTACATTACTCGGGGCTTGTGTTGTGCAGACTTATTACAGAGGAGAGGATTTGTACTTAGGCATATTGAAATATAGAAACATAGAAGAATGTAGAATAATAATAAGGAATGTGAGTTAGAGAAGCAGTTGGCCTATGTTGTATTTTGTGTAGATCAGCTGCTCACACAAGTTGAACATTCTGGTGCCACAGTTCATTTAGCTAACTGACATTGTTACATCCACCATTTTGTCAGATTTCAGACCAAGCAAATATTGACAGGCATCTTTTATATACTCCCCATATGTCCTGTCTTTGGAGCATAATATGTTGGTACTCTTTCTATTATAGTTGTTTTGTAAATGTTGCGTTGTAGTTTGTTGTTTTCCTCCTGGTTTACTGCTAGCCATTATCATACTAAGCTAGCAGTCAAGGGCAAAAAACACATTTTAATAAAATGTTAGTTATTGTTGGGCTAACTGTTATCTATTTAAATTATACTCAGGTAAACAATTTTTATTTATACTTTCTTAATAAATTACTGTGTTATAATCCTATAGTGACTAAATGTTGATCTTTCACTGGTGGTAAATTTGTTCCTCATGGCATGAGGCTCAACTATTTTCCTTGATACTGTACTAACTCATTTTATATGACCTTGTTACTCTTGGTGGTGTTACTCTTGTTTTAGGTGTCTAATCTTTTTCAGTTTAACTATTAACTTTAAAGGTCAAAACCTGTTTTCAACCTTTACTGGAAGCTGGTTTAGCTTTTACATCTAAGTGTCATCCTTCAATACCCTTTGTTGCAGGGCACAAAGTTACCTTTCAAAATGTGAGTTCCCCTACTTACGACTTGTAGCAGTGAGCAGCAGACACCACCCACTGGCTGGAGATAAGGGATCCGCCGCAGAAGTGGTATCCAGCGTTCAGAGACACCTGGTATGGAACAGAGCGTCTTGGACACTCGTACCCTCCGACAATCTTTTCATCTTCAGCTGCTGCAACTGAAACAGCATGTGAAGTACAATATGACAAATGGATAACCTAGAATTACTTGAGTGTTGCAATGAATGAAAAAATACTCAAGTAAGAGTAAATTCAAAACAGGAGATTGAAATATCATTTGGTTAGTCTCTTGCATGCTGCTCCGAGCAAAGCCAGGAATACCAGGGCCTTCATGGTGACTTTCCTCTGAATGGAACACAGTGTAACTCTTTATGTACACCTGTCTTTCCCTTTACGTTCCAAATTTCACAAGGTCAGAAAGTTACAACGCAAAACTCTGTTCTGGGAAAGAGCCATATGGCTGAAGGCAGCAGCAAGACCTTGAGTGATAGCAAAACTAAACGATAAAACTCCCAGCCCACTTTAAGCAACTTCTGATTGAGCAGTGCTCTTGCTTCTTGACAGTTACAGTATGTAATCAGCAATTATGTGATTGCCTAATATGCACAGGTTCAAGTGTGTAACTTTCATAGCTAAAATCTTACTGGTAATCAGACATAAACTCATTGGTATGGGTGTCAGGATACATGGTGAAATACAATGGCTTACACAACAATATGCCTGAGAGCACTTCACCATTTGCAGGTGTCACTGGTCTCAACTCAGCAGTGGGCTGCAGGCACATTCAAGAGGTTTCTCAGTAATCAAAAACCTGACAAGACTGTTCCAAAACTGCAGAAGTAACACAGGAATGGCATCTAGATATATAGATAAAATCTTAAAGGGTTGTCGCACCAAATATTGATTTGATTTAGATTTAGTTTGTTAATTGAAAAATATATTAACATGACTGTTTTTGAAAGCACTCTTACATTTTTTCCACAACAGCCTAAAACCTTTGCACAGTACTGTATATGTACATGTCCATCTTTCATTTTTACTTTTCTATCCAGTAGAACTGACATCTACTCAAACATGGGGTATATATGTGTATAGTTTAGACAATTATTGCATTGTGAGGTTTATTTTCCTTTGGTTCAGTGATCATATTGAGTTGCGACAAAGGATTTTCATATCACATTTACACACATTGAAAATGTATTGCATTGACATTATGTACATTCACCTAAGGATTACAAGTGATATTTTCATTTAAGTAATTTATTATTTACTTATTGGTAAAAACATTGGCAAAGGGAAGGTAGGTTTTGAACATGTAAAGTTTTTATTGAACATAAATTAAAAAAAAGAATTTTAGGTAAAAAAATATTCAACAGGTTTAGAAATTCTTTATACAACTATGTACAGACAAGGATCAATAGTGAGCTGATAAAGTAAAAGCTATGCGTGTCAAATTCAATTATTAATCCTAAAACACAAAACATACATCCACAGCATTCAGCCTTCAACCTAATCTCTAGGATCCTATCTTCATCCATTAGTTGGGTGTGGTTGCACACAGAAGGGAATGAGCACAAATGGTGGCCACCTATTCTTACAAAATAATTGCAGGCATAATAGCAAGTCAGTTTTAATATTGTTGATGTTATTTGTTTTCATACTATCAAGATGTAATGATTACAAAGATTGAACAATAAGAAAATGAGGTGAAGCGGTTTTTCACCAAATGTGTTCTGTAATTAAATTAAATCTTGCTTCATGACACCTTTGAGGTAGTACACCTGTGAGAGACAAAAAAACAAGAAAAAGAGGGTGCAAAACTGCCTAAAAAAAAAAAAAAAAGTGTAAAAGATTAACTTAATTACCATTACTCAGCAATAGCTTCATTTATATTAGTGAGCCTTCACTTACAAAAAACAAAGTTAAAAGCTCAAACACATTTATTTCCATCAGCTTGTTGAATATACATTTATTGTTCAAATATACAAAAATACAAAAAAGGTATATAAGGGACTGTGCAAGATCACTATATTCAGTTCGTGCCCGCATCAAGGAAACTCTCCCTCATAGACCTTAAAATATACAAACAGCACAAATTAACAAATAAAGAACAGACTGTAAGAGCAGGATAAAAGCATTTAGATCACAGCATCTCTGCCGTCACAAATAAAATCAGAAAATTTCAACTGAAAGGTGGGAAACAGGTTTGGGTGACTATTAAAACTACGTTTTGGGGGTAAATGTCACCAGCACCTAAAATATTGGAGTCCCTGCTCACAAGACTTGTGGTATCCAGAGTGAGGTTAAAATTTAGCTGCACTACAATGTACACAAGATGCCTTGAGTCAAATGTGTTTGATTTGCTCCGAAGTAAAATTAGTCCTGTCTGCTGCGACACCAGTGCTGCCAGCGGAGGTCGTGTCAAAGTGAGGTGTTACTTCTACCTTCTCTGTGACCTTGTATTTAAAAAAGACACACTGTCTCCAGCATAATAAAAGACCCCCCTTTACAGAGTAATACCTGATGTGAGGTTATTTTAGTTTGCACTGCTTGTAGCTGGTAATATTTGCCTCCCCAGTAACCTTGGCTACTGACGACAAATTCAACAACGTAAAACTGAGAGAACGGGGTTGTGTGAGATGGTAAAAGTAGTGCATTTTCATGAACTGAACTGCACTTCCTGACAGACTAACAATCCAGCAGTCTGAAATCACATAAATATTAATCCCAAACTCTGACAAATGGCTCTAATCTGGTTTCCGACTGTCAACAGCAGTTCAGAGGACAGAAATGAACAAACACGCCATCCTCGATCAGTCTGTGAATTAACCTTCCAACAAAGTAAAGACTTTCAGTAGATCAGGTCTGTGTGTGTCAGCGACCACACACTTTAAGTCACAACAGTCGCCTTTTTCATTTCATCAAAGCCCACCTCCTGAATTCAAGTGCATTAGACAAGATGGCTGTTGGTATGCGGGGTGTGTGTGCGTGTACTAATTCAGGAAGCGACGGCAGCGTCTCGCCCCGCAGTTGCAGTGTAGCTTGCTGTTCTCGTCCTCGATGGGGAACTTGTAGTCGTAGGTCAGCTCTTCACCCCGGTAGATCTTCCTCAGGGCGAAGATGACTATGTGCTTGCGGCCGTCCACATTGATGACACGAGAGTAGCAGTTCGGCTCGCACGAGTGGTTGATGAAGCGAGCTGCGTTGCCTTGCATCGTCGCGTCCACCACGTCAAAGTCGTCGATGCGGAACATGTAGCAGCCGATGCCCTGATGGAGAGTCATTAAACAACAGTCACTATTTTCACATTTGCAGTGCATTCAACAGCTTAAAGAGGTGGTATTATGCTCATTTTGACTTGACATGGACTTGAAGCTTCTACAGGTTACAGCATATACTATCGTATCACAACTTCATAGCTAGTGGTAAGTCTATATTGGATGGTTATGAAATTATGGCTCATAATCAAAATCCCAATACAAAATATAAATGGGATTTTTACTTCCGGAACCTCCCTGTTAAGCTCTATTGCTGTTCTGTTTGATTTCAGATAAAGGAAGCGTTTGCTGTAGGAATGGTTGTTGTCAACTGGACTGAAATATTCAACGACTAAAAACTCAGCTACAACTAATGTGAAGGTATGTTTTCACCTGAAGCAAGTCCATCGTTGTTTTAAGGTATTTGATCGTTACCAGGTACACATGCACAGTAAATCACTAATTCCTTCAACACGGGCTACCAAAAGCGGTAGCTCACATCAGTTTAAGCCTCAATGTTTTTCTTATAAACACTTCTACTGGAATGAATACGTAGCATAATGACACAAAAACTCTGTCATTGTGATAATGACTTCAAACAACAGCAGTGGGTATAATGTTAACCAACCTTGCCATCATAATATTTCTCCCGCTTATCAGTCAAGACAGAACGAATGACGGTGCCGGCGTACTCGATCACCATCTCCCCAGCGTCAATGTTCCTTTTGCAGAAAAGGCCCCGACCATGGATTTCAGATCTAAGAGGATTACAGAACAGGAATCAGGTTAAATACATTTGAGCATACAAATTATTTTGGACATTAATAAAATCGCATGCTTTTCTTGTTGTTTCGTTTGTTGCCATTACCTGTAAACTCCTACTGCTTCTTTCGAGATTTTTTCCAGGTGTCTGAATCTCATTGCCATTGGGAGCTCACTGCTGGTGGCTCGTCTGTCAGAGTGAGACACACAAAAGGTGGCATCAACATGAACATGGCATCTACTAAATTACTTCCTTATAACAGCTTTACAATCCTGTTTTTGTGGTACGTAGCGGGAACAAATTTTAGGATTAAGAAAGTGGCACAAATTGTATCCCCTAACCTGGAAGATTTTAGTGGGAATTCATCTTCCTCTTCGTCAAAAGGGCCTACTATGTCAGGGAGCTCTCTGTGCTGTGATGCCAGGAAGTTAAACATATCAAAAGTCGCTTTCCTAGTTAGAGAAACAGGAGAAATGAAAATACAAATGTGAGTTAATGTGAGTTGTATTTAAAATCACAGACAAGAAACAGAAACAACGAAACCAAGCAATTCAAGAAACCTTATTTACACTTATGTCACGACAAAAAGTAACCGTCTGTACCGTGTGTAGACTTCAGAACGAGCGCAGCCACTCGGGTTGAGGGGAAGCTCTTCCTCGATGTCGTCACAGCGGTGGAACCTGAAGCGGTGGCGTTTGCAGTTTGTGGCCCCCTGCAGTTGCTCCAGCAGGAAGATGACGGCGTCGTGGACGACACCGAGCACCCGCGGCCCCGTCATCACACCTAGAGGCAGCTGCTTCATGTGGAAGCCCGATCGAGCTTCCAGGACGCCGTCAATCACCGCGCGCCAGGCAACTGACGAAAGGAAAGAGATGAGGTGAGAGACCTGGCAAAACCGCACACATGCTGGTGATATCGGTCGGACAGTAAACCAGCAGCTTTTACCCTCTATGCTGTTCGCCTTAACACTGAAGCCATCATCGCTGGTGATTTCAAAACGCAGGTGGGGCTGGTTCATGTATGTCCTCTTTCTGTATTTAGGTGCAGGTGCATCTTCTTCTGAGCTAAAACCTGTAGAATTAAATGAATCAGAATTGTAAAAATTATAACATTTCCTGCAAAGCAACGACTATATAAATAAAATTTTTAATAATTAGAATTTGTCTGGCAAATTTAAGAACAAGATATTATCTTAACTACTGGAGATTCAAATAAATAAACATATGTTTAGTTACAAACCTGAATAAGGGCCCCATTCAGAGAGGTCTCCATGGCGAGCGCTCACCCACGTGTGTGTTTTACCCTGAATGTTAGTTTGTGCATGTGTGGGTGGACTCTCAACCCAAGGATGCCTGAGCAGAAAGGACCAACAAATAAGTAACTTTAACACTTTTGCAGAAAAATGTATCAACACATAGAAATTATTTATGGGCATGTTGAAATTGAGAGATTGGTACATTTTTAGTAACAAGATTGGCAGGTTCTATCAAGACCACTCTATTTGAAGATATTATCAGAATTGTTTACCTAGGGGTTTTTTTTGTTCATCTCCAAAATAAGCCTGTTTTGGCAGGAAATACGTCTTGTTAGAGCTTATTTGATAAGTTATGTGGCCTTAAAATGTTGTTAGATAGGTGTTAATGCAAAGTTTTCTCTGTTTAAAAGATGTTTCTACCCCCCAGACTCCTCTAACCTGGAGTTAGCCATTTGCCTAATTGTTTCTTTACAACATAATAATAAGGCTCTAAATTACAGTAACTTTAAGATGAACTAACCTGGAGGGCGTAGGAGGAGGCGGAGCAATAACCCTCATCTTCTCAGGCTCGTCAGACATATTCTTCTGGTCCATGTCAAGAACATCCTTCATTGTTGGAGCTTTCATTCTCACACGACTCGGTCTTTTGAAAGAAAACAAGACACAGTAAACATACACTGATCCCTGAGACTTGTGACAGAATGTGTCACACAAACAGCAGTGCTGCTGTTGTTAACTTCATTAGGGTTATCAAAGTGTACTTAATGAAACAGTATAATATTAAATTAATACGCATTTAAGTTATTTTCAGTCACATCCGCTGGGTTTCCCTGTTAATATTGTTAAGTACACTTCCTTCCTTCGTTTACAGGACTTTTCTGCAGGGCTGGTAGACATCTTGAGAATAATACACTGCCTGAGAAGCTGAACTTGTAAAGAAAGACTTCGGTACACACCAGTAGATGGCCTTCTTAAGAGAACCTACCATGAATGTTTAAGATGACAGCACGTAAATGGACAGGTAAAGATTTTAATATTTGGTTAAGGTTAGACAATTAAGCAAAATATTAAGTATTATCATGGAGCAAATTCAAAATAATAATGTGTAGTTTATCAATAAACAACCAAACCAATAATGAAAATAGCTAGCTCCAGCCATTATAATATTTTTTCCCCAGGAAGTAACTTAAATGTCAATTGCAGCACAGTTTGTTTTTGTTACATTTTGGTAATTTTATACTCTTGTACACTGCAGTGAAAAAAAGAGAATAATCAGATCTTTGAATACCTGGCTTCATTAACTTCATCCAGCTCACTTGAGGGATCCCTCAAGAAGTCCATCTTGGATTTCTTCCTGGAGGGCCTTTCAGACACCGATGATACTCTCTTGACCCTCACCTGGTGGTGCCATGGAGCAGGTGTTGGTTGTAGGTTGAAATTTGGTTGATTGAGTAAACCACTGGGAGACTCTGAGCCTGCAGCTGGTGACTGATCCGAGACCTCTTCGTCCAGAAAACGGGACGGTCTTCGATGTCTGGCTCTTGTCTGCCGAGTGTTACTGAGGATGATGGGTTTCGTCTTTGGCTCGTCGCGGTGGGTAGCCATGGCTCGGTCGATAATAGCCTGGGCTGTGCTCTCTTCAATATTGGAGAAACTTGCTTCAGGAACACTCGGCACACAGACAGGAGTTGCGGGAGCTGGAGGCACGCTGCTATTTAGAGGCACCATTCTGACGATGAATTTTCTCTCCGACGTTGCTGTGTGGTTACTGGCAGGAGGGACGTTGGTGGCAGATGGGCTGGAACGAGGCTTTATTATGACACGAGGGACTGAGCGCTGCAAGGCATTACCACTGTGGAGAAGCTTAGCAATCTGGCTTATTTTATTGTAGGCAGGAGAATTTGTACTGAGTGCCTGATAAGTGTTTGTTCTCGGGTCTTTGATCAGAATCTGACCTTGACGGTTGACCAGAAGGACCTGACGGGCGGGGGCCTGGGCCGGGGTTGAGCTAGTGGCTGCAGCTTGATTCTGAATCCCAACTTGCCCCTGACTTCCTGGCCTCGAGCTGTCCAAACGGATGGCGATGGTTCTGCCCCGTGTGGCACCCTGAATGGGTAAAGCGTTTAAACCATTGATCACAATGGGGGAAGTGACCGTGCGTGGAACTGCACAAATACTGGCAGCAGCCGGGGAGGCCGACGCATCATTTACAGCCTGTGTAGGTTGAGGGGGCAGCAGCAAATTGAGATTGTGCTGTTGTGGAAGACACAGTTTTGGAGACAAGCGTTTGAGGTTTGATGCTGGACGTTTAGTCTTCACAATGATGGTTTTCATGTGTGCTGGGGGGAATTTTTTGGTTGTATGCTGTGGAGAGTAGTCCGGGTCATTTAAATCATCTTTAAATCCTCCAACTGAGTCGGCAGATGAGCTACTTTCATCTTTATCCTCAACTTCCTTGTTATTTGGGTACATTACAGCGTCACTTTCAGCAGAAATAAAATGTCCTGTAGCGGAATCCAAAAACACCTCATTTTGAGATGGTAGGGTTTCAGAGCTCATCAGGACCTCTTCTTCACGGAGTGACATGTCATCGTGCGAGTAACTTGGTTTAAGAACATCACATGGTGGACAATGTTCCTGAAACTCTGGGTCAGCTGTTCCTTGTTCAACTGTTGACACGGTGTAGATCGACTCTAGCCTCTTTAGAGCAACCGTCAGCTGTTTAGTAGGTGTATTGTGGTTGGTATGAATCTTAATCTCTTCGTCTTCTTCTTCTGTGTCCTGAGCTTCATCGTTGACCACCTCGCTTTCATCACTCTCTGACCCGCCGTCTGCTCCATCTAACTGTGAGATCGACTGTGTTGGGGGAAGCTGCCCGGAGGCGTCCGAGCCGATAGCTGCGTCACACACCACTGTGCGTGAAAATTTTAAGTAACGGCTCGAGTCTTCATCTTCGTAGTCATTCTCCCGATTATCTTCCTGCATTTCCACATCTTGCACTACACCTTCCACCTCTCCTCTCCCGCAGTGAAGTGCCACTGTCTCACTGAGCAGAGCCTCATCAAACTCAAGCTTAGCATTCAGCATGGAGGCCACTGCAACCTCTGTGTCAGTGTCAAACACAGTGTACGGCAGGTCCTGGGCCATCAGGTGGGCTACTTCCTCTTCCAGGTTATCAGGGGCTAATGAGATCCCATTGGTTGTGGCCACTGCTGCATCTTCCGCCTCCGATGATGCAAGGAAGTCTTGGGGAACCTCTGCAGAAACTGGAGTGGTGATTCTGAAGTTATGCCTCCCTCTGGGGGAGTGCGTGATGGCTCCTTGCCGAAGTGACAGCCCTGCAGAGATGCTGGAGTTCGATCTAGGCGGGGAGCTCCAGACTGGTGATGTCGAGTTTTGGCGCGATAGAGGAGGCGAGGCTGAACCCAAGTTGGACGACCTTGGAGGAGAGCTGAACAGGGCACATCTGGAGTTGACGGTGCCACCAGAGCGGAGGGTCATCGGCACAGACGGGTCGCTGTCTGTTGGCAAGGAACTGCAGCGGCTTCTTGATGAGACCCTGCGAGGCCGACGGGTGTCCTCCAGGTCCCTCAATGTCAGGATGTGATGCGATTTGGGAAGCGCGGACCCTGAAAGCATCAAATAACAAAGATTGAAGGAAATGTAGCAATGCTAATTTATGGGGTCTTCTACAACACAGTACACTTTAATACAGTAAGATGTGTCACATTTTACACAATGCTGAGAAAATGAAAACATATTAATATAGATATATTTATATACGTTTATGAAAACATATAAATATATAACAACATTGTCAAATATGTCATCTTAGCCTATTTACCTGGAGATGGGAGAGGTCGAGATGATCCTCCTGCTGGTCTCCTGGTCTGTGTGTAACCTGGACTTTTGGATCCAGGTGTGTTGTGCTGTTTAGGGTTGGGAGATGGGGTAGTGGACTTTATGGGGCTGGATGAGGAGCTTAAACGATCTGGGGACTCCATATCTGGCAAAGAAGAAAGGGTGTCAAACAAATAAGAGTCTAAACACAGAGCAACTGGTCATACAATATGACCTGAGGTACGTCTACTATCTAAGTTGCAAAAAGAAACATTTCAGGGAAACTAAAAGAACAATTTGATCCATCTTAATGGAGAATTTAGCCCAATCGTTACATGGGCTTGGTTAGGGTTATATGTAATTTTTTGCAAAATACATTTCTGTGAGTGTTGATAAAGTGAACGACAACGGACGAATCTTAAAGAGAAAATAAATAGTTCCTGCTGACCTCTGTGGTGGCTGGGACTGTGGACTATGGTGTGATTCTCTTCCTGGTCCCACCTCGGATCATGTTCCTCACCAGGGAGAGGTGTGCTCGCTTCTGTCACCTTACAGGTGTATTTGCAGCGTCTGCGAGGGTCCACAGTGCTCCAGTACAACCGCGAACATCTAGAGAAGGAAGGGAAGAAGAATGAGTTCACATAAATAAGCAAAAATGGGAGTAATACCTAAAATACAAGTTTTGAAATAACTAGCTTTGTGTTGTTTTATGTACTTTTTTCATGAGAACTGCACTCCAAACCGGTCTTTAACCAGCAAGATTACATCAGTAAGACATATAATGACAATGATCACTTACTGATAGCCGACAGGATACAGCATCCTCCCATTTGACGACAGCTCTGACAACACACCAAGTTTCTGAATTTGCAGAGAGCCTGGAAAAAGATAGAAGACAATACTATAAGAATACTTAGCAAAACACCAAAGGCAGTCTGATATAGAGCAGCAATATTTCATCCCTTTAGGAGACACATACCCTGGACAGGAGTCAAGTGTCTAAAGCAAACACCAAACTGATATTCTTACCTATGGTCATGTTTATGGATTCTGGCTCTAGGCCTGTGAGGAACTTTCTTCTGAGATTAATCCCCTCAAAGTCCACATAAACTCGCCGAGAAACCTCAAAGCCTTTCCCAGAAACCATCTGGAAGTAAATCATAAATTAATACAATGTAGAAAGAAAGAAAATCAGCAGGTGTGGCTTTCCCCTCTGACAAAAATGGAGGAGGGGTGGGGGTTGTGTCCATACCTTCACACTGATAAGATCTCTGTGTTTGAAGCAGTACATCTTCTTGTCCTGCTGAAACACACAGTTCTGGGCACGAGCACACATGAAGTGAAAATTACTCTGGCAGGTGGCAAGACAGCAGCCCACAGTGGCTCCTGACTGTCCACAACGATCACAACGCTGGAGAATGAAGGACAAAAAAACAATCATGTTAAATAACTTACAATTATATCATAATACTTTCCACACAGTTTTTTTGTGCAGACTGCAATCCTACAATACTTGGAGCAAGCTTGCAAATAAACATCTAGCTACTAGATCATGAACACCATTTATTTTCTTTCCTGAGATTATCTTACCAGGTGGCGCCCTCTTGAGACAGCGCTGTGCACTTGCAAAAGAGCACTATTCTCCTCATACACCTCTGCAGACCAAAGGCAGCAGTTAACATGGCACCACTCATTCTGTCCCATGTACAACAGCCGCCCTGCGTCCTTTACATTGAAAGATGACATGCAAGGAAAGGAAAGACAAGAACAAAGTCAAACCAAAACATTTGTAATGTACTGTCACTGCAAAGTTAATGGCCTGTTTCTGTATTCAAGTATTTGACTTTTTATGTGGCATGCAGTAAGTGGAGCTGAAACAAACAGTTATTCTGCATTTAAGTCATTTTAAGCAAAAAGGTCACGTATTTGATGGTTGCAGCTACACAAATGGGAGAATTTGATGCTTTTCTTTCTTCTTACTTTATATTAAAACTGCTGAATATCTTGCGTTGTGGACTGTTGGTCATACACACACGCACACACACACACATCTTGTGAATAGGGATTTCTACTACTTCCTAAATGTGTTAATGTTCTGAAAATTGATATTATTTGCAGTCGCAAAAACAGAGTAAGACATTTTTACTCACACTGGTGGCAGAGTCTCCGTATTGTTGGCAAAGGGCACACTGCCTCACATCTTCAGTCTTGGTAGTTTCCGGATGACTCATTTCACCTTTGAGGATGAATGAAAACAAAATGAACACAAACATTTTATTGAAAGAGAAGTAATTAGAGATGCACCAATGGGGCATTTCAGTGCCGACGATAACCGATAAATATGTTTGATACGATAATCAATATTATTACTATTACAAATAAATCGATATTTTTAGATAACACTGCTGGCTAGAGAGCCTTCATCTCTGGAATAACAAATACTTTCATTTATTATAAACGTGTTTGCTATTTAAGTCAGTCGCAAATGTGAAACCTGTAAAAATGTGATCTTTCCCTACTAGAAATGAACAGAAGTTATATGTCCAAAGGTTCTGACTAAGATCAGATTCCTCAGCAGACATGATACAGAACAGGCACAACAGTTTCCATACCATGTGAATAAAGAGGGTGCGATACACCAGACTGCAGTGTAGCGACTGAGGACAGCACAGACTCAGTTTTCCCCGCCTGTGGGCCCCTGGACTCCTTCGGCTGGTATGTCCTTTCCAGCCATTGTGCATAGCTGTGCTCCATGGATGGTGGGAGGACCGCCTCAGGGAGCATGCCACTGCAGAGTGAAAGATATGAGCCGTAAAACAGAGGGGAAGGCCAGAGAAGACACTTGAGACAACCGTCCATCTAATACAAGTATTTAAATTACAGTCCACTAGACTGAGCACTCACCTAAAAGCTTCAACAAATGCCACAGAGCTTAAATATACATAATGAGGGAAAAATAATAATGTTTAATTAATTTTACTTGGTTATGAATATACCTTGGGAATTCCTCAGAGAACGAGTTCCACTTTTTCAGATGGCGTTCAGGAAACCAACTGAAAACCCGCTCAATCAGCTGTGAGGAAAAGCACAGTAAAATTAGGTTGGAGGACAAAACTTGTTTTTGGTTGTTTTATATTTTACTCAGTCTTTTTTGCAGTGCATTTGTCCAGTGACTCAACTCCACATTCCAACCAGTCAAATCAGTGGAAGTCACCATGAAAACAGAAACTGAGGAAAATGTAGCTTTCACTGGAAATTAATGAAACGTAGGTCTCTAAAAATAAACTAAAACCATGGGAGATTTGGGAAGGGGGAGGAAGGGAAGCTTACTTTGACATAGTGTGCTCTGGCCTGGCTCGTCGTTCTCTGGTGCTCAGGGAGAAGCTCCTCCTCCTTCAGCCACTTCCTCATCACAGAGGCGACATCCGCATGGAAAGCTTTCTGAGAGCGCGAAAATACAAATACAAAGAGGTCAGGGCTCCAATCAACAGCATCTCACAAGAGCTTCAAAGACAAAGAAATTAGGAAATATGGTATTTATATTTATTACCGACTGCTTTGGTAAGACACGAAACAGGTAAAAATCACCCTGTGTTGGTTCGCATAATTAGCAATTTATCAGAAAGAATATACTCACTATTGAGGTGTAACCGCCCCCTTCAAACTTCTTCTCCATTGCTTGTAGATCACAGACTTGTTGTTGCTCCCTGTCAAAGTGTGTGTTGTTGGTTTCCTGACACTGACAAACAAAAACAACAGTTTAAATAAGACAAAACATTCAGCTATCAGGTAGAAAACACAAAAACAACAATATGATTTGAAATAAAACATATTAGGGCACTTTTTAAGGGAAAATAAAAGTTTGAAAGCACAAGTTGACTTTTTAAAAATAAAAATGTCAAAAAGGACAGGGCTCTTGGGTACCACTTACCGCTTTACAGATGAGGAGGTGCTGTGTGGCTTGGTCACAGAGGAGGTCAGTGAGCACCTCCTTCAGCCCTGCTATCAGCCTGCTCTGCAGCGCCACCTTCAAGCCGCTGTGTTCAGTTCGGTGCTGGCTGCAGGGTGAACAGGTGAAGAGCACTTCTTCTTCCGGTTGGCTTGACAGCAAACCAAACAGCTCGTCTGTGATGACAAACAGACACACGTTAGAGGATATATTGTAGATTATTAGATCTGTTCTACATGTATAAATAGTCTGAGAATTCTAATTAATGAAAAGTATTAATTTCCCTCCTTGAGTAGTAAAGACATAGTTAAAATTTAGTAATGCACTCTTGTGTTCTTTAACACGCAATAGCAAAACAGATGTTTCATTATGCAAAATTTGATTAATTCTCACATTATCAGTTATCATATTCTTCTATGTACTGTAACTTAAGATGGAAAAGAGTCTTAATCTAGCAAAACACAAAACCTGTCAACCAAAACAGGTATTTGGCTGGAATGAAAACTCTGGATCACTTTGAAGTTTCATTTATGAATAAACGCAGCGTTACCTACCTGAAAGTCCTTCACATGTATAATGAATCCAGTGGCTGCACTTTGAACACTGAATCATCTGTGTTTGTTGCTTCTTGTCGCCGTAGCACTTGTGGCAGATGGTGCAGAAATTACCTGATATAAATACAGATCATATCATCAGTGCTACACATTTGAATTGTAAACACACACACACACACACACACAGGTCCAGGTCATCCTTCTAATCAACTTTGAACTTGTTTGGTTAACTTATCACCAAGTCTGGGAGGTTTGCATCCAAGGATCAATGTATTTATTGAGCTTTCACAAATATGTCTGCAAAGCCTTCAGAAAACACTGGTGTCTCTCAGAGGTCTTACCTTTGTTATGGAGAACAGTGCAGTCAGAACAGAGGTCCTGCTCGTGGTTCCAGGCCAAGTCCCAGCTCTTTCCAGGAGTCACGCCACAGCTTTTACACCGAATGCATGTCATGCATACCTACACCAACAAAAAAAATACAATGTTTATTTGACATTTTAAGACAATTTAAGACTTTCGATATCCCTAAGACATGGCACAGAGATTCCTATATTCCTAAATATTTCAAGGCTATTTAACCACTTACCCAAGGCATGTTGCAGTTCATAGGTTTGGGGTAAGTCGGTCCCAGGCAGGAAGGGTGGTAGGAGGTTTGGCATCTCCTGCACTGCAACACAGGCTAGAGAGGGGAAAAAAACCACAAGGCACATTAATTATAGGTTAAATATTTGACTAGCACCCATGCCTTCACACTCTCACACTCCTAAAATCTCATGTGCAATATCTTTAGACACAATAAGTCTAATAAGAAAATGTAGCATGTTAAATACAGAAGTTATACTTTTATAGCAGATTAAATAAAATATTAAAAATTTGAAGCTGAAAACCAAATATGTCTGTGTACAAAACAAAACAGATAATGTTAATATCCTCCAAATACTCTTTCCATCTATACATTTCCCCACAAAAAAATTATACAGATAGACACATGCCAACATGCATGTATCATTTGCAGTTAAATTAAATATTTATTTTTATTCATTTTAGTTGTGTGATTGTGAATGTTCGCTAGGCCTGAACAATTTTCAAAAAATATCTAATTGCAGCTAATAACTCGATATGATTTGGGATATTGCAGGGAATGATAATTTTTATATAATTATTCTCATTTTCAATTAAAAACATATTTAAATGATTATGGTGTAATTTTTGCAAAGATCTGTACCAAACAAAAGCTGTTTTCTTTGGTCTGTAGAACATGATGTGTAGGTCAGGACATCTATGCAGGACAAAATATTTCATATAAAATGGTATTTTGACACATTTTGCCTTTTTTTCTTTTTTTTTTGAAAGTTGCGGTAGGACATAGTGATTTTGGTAAGATTTTGATTCATTGTTCAGCGTTAATGTCATGAAAATTTCAAATGCATAGGATCACAATTAAAATCTGTCTTAAAACAATAGCCAGGTGCCCACAAGAACACAAACAGGTTTTGCTTGCTGTATTTATGTTTTATGTTTATACTGGGCCTTTACAGATCCCTTCCTAATGCCCTTTCAGTGTAAGAGATGAGGGACAAAATCCACAGTCCTTGTTCATCTGAAGCTAACATGAGACTTCAGCATTCTGAGTTTGTAAAATCAAGTGAATATCTTCTAAGTTACTTTAGTACAAATTCCCATTTTCTTTCTATATTTCTATCTTTCTACTGCAGCTCAACACAGAAACACTGTCCAGGGGGAAAATCTGCAAAGCCTGTTTCTGTGTTCATACAGACTATTGTTCTACCACAGTTACATCTATCACATTTAGAGATGCTTTTTTTTTTTTTTTGGTTTTAACTGAGGGGTCGCATACCTTTGTGTTCTTGCTTTGACGGCCACAAACATGACAGAATTTGCAGCGCCTGCAGCACCAGTTCTCCTTGTTCCCCTTCATGGGGCGCTCCTCTGGTGAGAGGCAGAAACTGTGGAAAGGCTCACAGCAGATCTGGCAGAATATCATCTGATAGAAGAGAGAGACCAAAGGAGACCAGCTTAGTCACAGAAATGTTATTATTAGCATGGCACAGCACCAAAATGTTGCAAACATGGGCTTGGAGATATTTATCATCAGTAACACTTTCCGTACTTTGCCAGACTACTCAGGCTGTGGTCAAGAGCTGAATTACCTCATGTCGTCCTTTACTGGAGCAGAGCAGGCAGATGGGTTGTGGTGTGGTGGGGACAGATGTCAGGACGCTGAGGCCGCCCATTAGCCATACGTTCTGTACAGCACAGTCCTCCTGGTGGACGCAGGGCAAGAAAAAAAAAGCAAGAGAAAAGTGATCAGTTTCTACTTTGGTATTTTGTGGACACATGGGCTCATTAACGCGAATCAAACTCGTTAAAATAAGCGGCTTCATAATGATCCCATAAGTAATACTAGTAGCATGGCTGGTCTTGTTAATTTCTTACACCAGGATGTATGCAATTTATATAACACCAAGAGATTTGTAGTTCATGCTTCAAAGCTAGAAAATAAAAGACTGTTGGTATTTCTATTTCTGCAAAGGGGCAGGAACTTATTCTAATCATCTGGTGGACACTTTTACCTCAAGTGCCTTACTGTAGTGAGTGCCTTCACTTCTAGTAAAAGGGGGCAAAAGTGAATAAAATTTTACTCTGACGCTCCATCAAATAAAGTACAGGACTTTATTTATAGTGCACTAAAATAGCCTAATGAAATGAGACACCTACTTATGTTAATTTTATTTTAGAGTGGTGCAGGGAATATTACAAGTCATAACCCCAGAGAGATGTTTTTTTTTTTTTAATGCTAAAGTTTGATTGTCTCTCTTTTCAAGTCTCTAAATAACTTTTTTTTTTACATTTGTAAACGTAATTCTAGTGATGAACAGCAACATACCGTCAATTTCATATACACCCCAGTGAGTAATATAAAAATGCCACTCAACACTAGTGCAAAAACTCACCTTGAAATCCACGCGGATCTTGTACTTGTTCTGCAGGCCCCTTTGGGGAAATCCGTTAGTTAACCCTGGCAGGGTGTTCACTGACGCACACTCTGCGGGATTCTGGGAACGAAGGACATAGTGTGGATCAGTTGTTGGACAGTTCTGCAGCACCGTCTCTTTAACAGAATCGTTGCCGTCCTCCTCCTCCTCCTCCTCTTCAGGCGGATCCCCTCGTTTGTCCTCCTGCTTCATTTGCGTGCTCTCCTGTAACTCTGTGAGTGGATCGACAGTCTGAGGAAGCACTTGCACAGTTTTACGCACCGCATCTTTGCTAGCTCTGCATGCATCAGTCAAAGCATCTGCTTTTTGCTCAGACTTTGGATGTCCCTGAAAACACAACTTTGACGAAACCTCTGTCAGAGATGAGTGGAGTATGGACTGGCGCTGTTGTTGAGATGATGACAATATATAGTTGTGCAAATGCAATGCTGACTGCACCACAGACTGGGGCAAACGTAACAGCAGAGAGTCTGTTATGGGATGTGGTGAAAGTGGAGAAGCGGGCTGCGTTACAGGGTGGGACAATTCTGGAGGACATTGTGTAGTGGAAGGTGAAATAGCAGGCTGCGTTACAGGCTGGGACAATTCTGGAGGACAGTGTGTAGTGGAAGGTGAAATAGCAGGCTGCGTTACAGGCTGGGACAATTCTGGAGGACAGTGTGTAGTGGAAGGTGAAATAGCAGGCTGCGTTACAAGCTGGGACAATTTTGGATGCGACTGTGCAGCACACTGATCCAGACACTGGGGCAACTGCTGCGGCAAAGACAGAGCAGACCGCAGGATAAAATCAGGCAGACGGTGTAAGTGTATTTGTAGCTGCTGCTGCAGCTTCGGCATTGGGCTCCTGGATGGGCTGGTTTCTCTGGGCTCCGTCTCCTCCGTGTTCTCCTGTTCCTGTGGAGGAGGGGACTGCCTAAGCCAACCAGCACGACACGTTCCAAAGTAACACTGATACTAGTGACATGCAGAGGCGGCGACCGGCAGCAGCCAAAGTGACAGAAAAGGGGAGAAATGTGTCTTTGAGAGTAATGTGTTAGCCGGGAATAAGAAGTAAGAAAAGGTCGAGAAAGTTTAGCAAATGCACGAAAGCAGCAGTAGAGGTGTACACACAAGTCCCCAGTTCAAAGGCAACTATATAATCACAAAAACATCTAGTTTGTCCTTTTTTGACACTTCTTTAGAGGTTCAGCTACTGTTAACAGACATACAAATACTTTGTCATGTTTAGTGTGATTAAAAAATGCCTTTGATGTGTAAGCAGTACAGATCAAACATGAGAAAAAAAATCTTCCACTTTTGATATGAGAAATGTCACAAAAATTATAGATTTACACTGCCTTATCTACACCTGGAACAACACAAAGGAGTTCATGATAAGATGTGTGGTGGTGTTCTCTCAGTCTGCTAGTTTCAGAAGAGGTAATATGCAGGGTGCTGCTGCTGTACATTCAGATTGATAGAATATACAACAAACAAAATTATAAATGGAACACTTTTGTTTTTGCCCCCATTCATCATGAGCTGAACTCAAACATCTAAGACTTTCTCTATGTATATATTTAGTAGAGTCCTATGTTGTAAGGCTATTAATTATCTCTAATCTAATGTCATGTCTTGTTCAGGTTAAGATGGGTTATTTTTATATTTAAAAAGGGGGAAATACATAAATCTCAAATGTCCAAACTTCTAGGAGGCAGCAAAAATTTCATGAACCCACTAACACAGCACTTTTAGTTTAAATTTCAGACACATGCACATACAATGCCTTCAGATGTACCTAGCATGTACATGCAGATATTTAAATGCGCAGTTTCAAAGGTGCGTGCGTCATTACATTCTTGTAGATGCATGTTGTATTTTTAAAAAAAAGAAAAAAAAGGAAGGTCTAAGCCTGTCTTTTGCGCCCACCAGCAAACTGTCCACAACCAATTAGGGAAGGCACATTTCTTTCTTCCTACTATCCAGCGACTACTGAATTGCACACAATTTTGATTAAAAAATGATATAACCACTGTTGTCTCTCAGTATCTGATCAATGTAATTGGTACACGAACGGTTAACAGTCAGCTGCAAATTACAGACACAATAACATAAACCAAAAGGCAGTAGTGTAGTCTGTCAACTACAACAAAGTATAGAGTACTTCCCCAAACAAAAGACAAAAAGGAAGAGGGAACTACATGTGTTGACTGAATTCTGTGTTTACATAATTAAGGTCATTTCCAACATAAACTGATGCAGAATGGGCAAAAACTGAAACAGAAAAATTCACCAGAATGCAGGAAATTAGATTTTTAAAGCTCAATTTTTTCAGGAAGAAGACCCACACACCCCTCGCTTAATATGCATCACCTCTAATGTTAAAACAAAACCTACACCCTTGTCGTCTGTTAACATTCTGCTGAGCTCTTCTTAAGAAAGTTGCCATTTCACTCCTACGCTGCATTGTGGACAAATCTGCCACTAGCAAAACAAAGAGCCACCCATGAATTGAGCGAAACCAAGAAACGCCCCATATCACTTTGTAATGCCAAATGTGTAGACCACACGTTGTGGATTTTGTGTACTTGTTTCCTCTTTATTCTTGTCTTCAAAATGGGATGGCTTCCTTAGTTCCTGGTGTGTTTCAGAAGGAGGAGGAAGGTAGAGTTTTTGGCTTGTGGCAACACAAACCAATTAGTTAATCATCAATGAGGAGCAGCACACAGTTGCTATGACCTCAGACCATGTTTCAAATTTTGAATTGTGTGTCCTCACACAAGGTGCAATGCCGTTATCGTGGAGGTTAGCTGTAAAGCAATTTCTGCCAGTTACCCAAAAATATTTTGGTGTATGCACAAAATCAGCACTACCAGTTCACAACCAACAAACAGAGATGGAGATGAATTCAACATTTGCGAGCAGTGTCGTCACATATAAGAGGGGTATAAGAGGGAATTTCTTATGAAGAATGGCAGAAGATTCAAGTAATGCAGATTCAAAAGGTTAAAAAAAGCAAACGATTATTTTATGACAGAGCAAAGAGCTTTAACCATATAGACGAGCAAACTGTTCTAAATTCACAATTTTGCTCGATTAGATTGGCAAGTGACTTGAAGAAGTCAAATGTGCATGCCATCTAGAATAAGCAGAAGCAAAGAGTCAGACAGCACAGCCAAGAGTTAAGCTTCATCTTAGCTAAAGTTAAGACAAAGACTGACAGCCCAACATTGTAATGAATGGTGTTAGGGAGCAATGGTGACTATACTTATAATCAAAGTAATCATAGAAAATATACTTACACTGTAAGGCTTATGCTATTGTTTGTTTGTATCGTTAGGTTTTGAAAAAAATTTTTTTTTCCTAAGATATGTTTCTGAATTAAACTGAACGTGTTATTACTTTTTGTATTTATCATATTGCGTTTGTTATTTTGCTAATTTAATGTTAAGATGATTTCTTTCTTTGTGATTGGCAATTATTTTAACTAGGGCTGTATATAACGATTATTTTTCAAGTCGATTATTATATCGATTAGTTGATTAATCTAATGACTATTTTTGTGTATTCTAAAGGAAAAAAAAGTTGCCTATTACCCGATTAACATATCAATATATCCAAAATTAATATCAAAAACACAACACAAGCAAATTAGAATAATGACAATAGTAGCATATCTTACAATGAATCAAATGTCCACATCACTGATGTGTTGTGATAATAACAACAATAACAGACATTAATTAGGCTACTTTACTTAAAACTTTAAATGTTCCTGACATGGATTTATTTAAATATTGAGTAATATGCAGTATTATAATCAAATGTATTTCTGCATCAGTGTGGGGCAAAGAAAATAACTAAAACGACTCACAGACAGTCACAGATTGTTGTTAGATTCAGCTATCGTCTCGCTCATTCGTGGCCGTTAAAACAACGTTCGGCTGTTTTACAGAAAATATAAAACGGCCGAAAGTTGGATGGGGCAAGAAATTACTTTTAACATGAAGGCGATGAAGAAATACTTAGAAAATACATTTTAACGGACTACGTCGGAATTGCCCCAGTCCTAATTTTAACCATGGGCCTCCTCTTGATGAAACGTCCCTGGCAGAAACCCTTCTGTTAGCCATGGTTGCATAGTGCTGTACTGTAGATGTACGGTCACATAGGAAAATAATAAACTCGTGTGAGCTAAATGTTCATTTAAACATGACACAAGTTCTTCCTTCTAGTTATGATAGCCAAGATACAGATTACATTTCAAATTCTGGAGACTGGCTAGTCGTGGCTATCTGAACAAGTTAGCCCAAAACTTAAGCGAGCATAAAAATGAAGTACTGCCTCAAACAGAAACTGAACAGGGAGTGTAAGATGTGCTTCTACCTCAAAGAAAAGCAAGAACACCGCTTAATTCGCCCATAATTTATAAAAACATGAGCTTAAGCACATGCAAGGTGTTTAATATGAAGGAGAAATTAAGAGTCAGGAAAGGAAGATGAGCAAGGCTGAATTTGAAAGAGGTTATTAGAAATCACTCATGCCAATGCAGATGGTAAAATAAAAAGGAAAAAAAGTGATATGCAGACCTGGGCAAAGTATTATTTGGAAATAATAAATTGTGTTTATTCTTACAAATTTGTTCGAGAACTAAGTTTTTTGTTGTGGTAGCATTTTTTAAACACCACCTATCTGGAAGTTCAACAGACTATCAATATGAGCCAAAAAACTTTTCCAAAAATACAACTTGACCCAGGTTTGATTAGGTGGTACACTGGACAAGAGGAGGAAAATCTGCTGCATGTTTTTACCTTGGAAGCCCTGGGTCTGCTCCCGGCTCCTCTGGAGAACGGCCGGCGGTGCTTCACCACCTCAGCTGGAGGGTCGTACGGCAGTGAGCCGCCATCTTGAGGAGCAAGATCTCCAAAAAAAGATAAACAGATCTAAGATACAATTCTGATTGTCATTCAAATACTACTTTCGAAAATAATACTGCCCTTGTTGGGTGAAAAGCACGGACTTGACAAACTGCTATCTGTTCTATGTCAACAATATTAACTTTGGATAATTTGTGAGGCACTCTCTCTCTGCAACAAAGCTCTGAAATTATCGTCAGAGATCTTCAAACCATAATCTGCAAAAACAAAGCTTCAGTTACCTTGGTTGCTAGCAGCAACTACGTTTGACTTGACTGTTGATTTATCTGCCTTCTCCTCTTGTTCTTCTCCCTCCTCTTCTTCAGATTCAGACTTCAGCAGGCTGCTGTAGGAGCGTGGTGCGATGTTACGCAGGGACAGTTTTCTGACTCCAGGCGCCATGGAGGACGATCCCTCCTCTGACCCTCCTGACAGCCGCCTTGCCTGGACTAAGAAAAAGGAGCCCCGTGATTAATTTTGTAAACAAACTAAATATTTGTGATGTGTTGTTGAATTTGTTATTTCTGTTAACTTAAAGACATGATTACAGCAAATCAAACAAGAAATATTCACTCGGGGAGACCAATGAGAATAATCTAAATAGAGACATACCTTTTAATGGTTTGACAATGCGCTCAATCTTTGCTTTCTCAATCCTCTCACACTTCTTATATCTGGGGGCAGAAGAAAGAGTAAACTGTAATTATTTGGCCAAGTGCAGGTGTAGACATCTATGAATGTGTTAGACTGTGAGAGCCAACTTGCCTTCATTAACTGGATTGTTTAATATGTTTTACTGGAAAGAAATAAAAAGTTTTTTCATGTTTCATGTACAAAAATGCTTAACTTAGAAGTTAAACAGTATTTTTGACTTACTTCAACATTTTAGAACTCAGCACCAAACTCAGTATTGTCAGTATAAAATGTAAATATGTTGCTATTTTCCCCAAACACACTGACTGATTGATTTTCACTGCCTATCTTCAAAGCACTAGCATGACATTTTGGGAAATACACTTGCTTTCTGGTCGAGAATCTGATGAGAAGATCAATACCACCATCTTGTCTGTATTGTAAATATGAAGCTACAGCCAGCAGCTGGTTAGTTTAGCTTAGCACAAAGACTGGAAACAGGGAAACCGCTAGCCTGGGTTTGTCCAAAGGTAACAAAATCCTCCTACCAGTACCTCTCAAGCACACTGATTAACATGTTATATTTATGTTTGTTTGGTCTCTGCAAAAACCAATATGTAAAAATTAACACATTTATTTCCATTGGACAGAGTCAGGCTAGCAGTTTCTCTCCGTTTCCTGTCTTTGTGCAAAGCTAATCTAGTAGGCTGCAATCTGTATTTTTCCTGTGCACCGCAATCCATAAAATGTGAAACTATTTCTTTTAACTACTGACAAGCACTTGTAGCTACCTTGTCTTAATAAAATCAATATGGGCTACAAGTTACTTCACCCTCATCAATGTGTTTTTTACCTGGCTTTTATTAGCGACCTGCCTTTATTTGTTTGTGCTGACCACGCCCTAGCCACTGTTTGAATACCAGCTTTTATATAAGAATTTACACAATGTACATATGATTGACCTTACAGATTACAAGCCAATACATGGTTCAGTGTTGAGGCATTTCTTCACTTGCCAGACATCTGCTTGGTCAAAGTAAATTTTCAGTATGAAAAACTTCATATTTCAATAGTTGATGCATTCATACTGCCAGTTCTTCTCGCAGCCCTTCTGTGCCAATGCCTTTAAAACATTTGCTAAAACGCACAGTAAAATTAACCTATTCACACTCATCTGGATTTGTGATTAGTGTAACTTACATGCAACACTGCCGCTTGGTGTTGGGCCCCCCGAACTTGGGCTTATCGAGGCAGTTTACACACTTTGCGCAGTCCTCCTCTATCAAACAGCCTTTGCAGTGTCCACAGCGCCGGGCACGGACTCCCCCAGGTGCATATTCACTCAGGACCTTCCTTTTTCGGAACCTGCGGCCCTTCCCCCTCCCCCTCCTCCTCCTGCGCTGGATGTGTTCCTGAGAGACAACCCACTGAGCCCTGCCCTGATCAGTGATGTCATCGTCATCATCTGCCACATCTGCAAGCGAGAGAAAGAGAGGATGGGTAAAAAGAGCCGCAACATACATTTTCAAACATCATGTAAGAGCATGTGATGTGAGGCAACATTTTTGGATGCCAGAACTTAACTATTCAGACTGCAGGAGACATGACAGGTCTAACTGCAGTGATTGGAGGTGCTTTTATTCTCATTATTGGTCTTTTGTCCAACAAGCATGTCTGGTTTCTCAAGTTACTGCCGGCTGCCTGAAGTGTCGGAAATCTAAGAGTCACTCTAGAAGAAAGTAAGGTCACTAAACAAACACATCAGGACTCTCTGAAAAATCCAGTGCTTGTGGAAATTCCCCTCTTTGACTTTTTTGGATCTGCAAACGACTAGAAATAGATTAGAAACTTAATTCCTTTGACAACCTCTTGCATCCCCCAATGGTAGTATTTTAATGCCAGCTGGCACAAATCAACTTCAGACAGAAATAGGGTTGGGTATCGAGAACTGGTTCCAAGTTAGAACCATTACCACATTTCCAGGAACTGTGGATTAGTTAAGACATTTCAATTCTGCTTTGCACATTTCAGTTGCGCTCACGATTGAACTGCGGTGAGTCTTTTACAGTCCATAACACCTGCACTTATCTACGCGGACCTAACAACACAGTACTTCAACAGAGCATGCATGAAAAGACTGCTTCCGTTTGCATTCCTGGACCACGGTGGACGGTAGCAAACGCTTAAAAGTTCGGCTCAGCTTAAAGGTTCAGTGTGTAAGTTTTAGTGGCATCTAGTTGTGAGGATTGCAAATTGCAACCAGCGGCTCACAGTGCATTCACATGCTCTTCGAACAGTCCCATTTCACGAGTTGTGAAGTCGTTCTTTCAGACTCCAGTGTGTGTTCATGTGCTCTTAAGTCAGAATGTGGAATCAACATGGATGCTACCACAAAGATGTGTTGGATTAGCATTATCAGAGCATATAAACAACACACAGATCCTTTACTCTACAGTACCTTTAAAATGAGACAACTGCAGTAAGTATATTTGGTGCAAGGGAGGGAGCATCTCCAATATGACGATGCATTTACTTCAACACGGCGTGAATCTGAAGAAATGCACCGTGTTCAATGTGTTGTAGTATGTCAGCTATAGCTAACGCCAACAGTAGCACGTGAGCTTACATTTTTCTTTTATATTAAAGGTAAACGAATGATGTCTACAAATCATTCCATAACTTTTTCTTAGATACGAGTGCCCAGAGACATCCCTCTAGTACAGAAACTCTTTTCACTTTAACCATGAAGGGGAAGAGGAGCAAGGAGATGATAAATGTTACAGAGCCATGACAAGATTCGTGGTGAAGTGGTTAGAATCAGAACCGAGATTTGATAAGAAGGATCTATAAAATTTAAACGATACCCAACCCTAGACAGAAACAAATCACTTAGGGGTGGCGACTGTCATCATTTTAAATGAATAATGTAGCTATAATAACTTTGTGTAAGGATCCGTTTTTTCCCCAAAAGCACTAAATGTGTTCATTAGGAGACAAAATTCAGGGCAGTGAGTCTACTTGTCAAACGGCACTTCCTCACCTCATACTGAGTGGTGCTCACTCGACCAGTGTTGGGTATAGCTTTCCAACAGCGGTGGCTAATCTGTGTGTGACAAAAGATATTTTTGCTGGCAAATATTTTAGTTACAACTACATTGAGCTAACAAAGCAATTTTTTGCTCAGCAGGTTACGTTTGCCAAAAGCTATCAAAGTTGTACTCTTTTACAAAAAGAGTTTTTTTTTCCTTTTAGGTTGTTTGTTTATAACTGCTTAATTAAGCTTAATTATGCCAGTTTGAAAGAATATTTTAGCTGGTGAATGTTTTCATTATAAAATACTAGCAGAGCAGCTTTGCCAAACAAAAGAAGAGAAAGAGAAATTAATTTAAGACTGGACAACGCTAATGAAGCATTTTGGAGAAATTGGATTAAAAAACAAAACAAAAAGAAAACCTACCTGGGAGCACGGTTATATACAGAATCAAGTCCATCTATCTTTTCTACAGTCAACCTGTGAATGATGTGGTAATCCTGACTGTTCCAGGGTGGTAGTAACTCCAACTACGCAGAAGCAACAGTTGATGCTGTACACTTTGCAATATGCTGTGGGGACGTAAGCGTCTGAACTTGTCTATGAAGGTTCATCGACTTAAGTTTTTCTGATCATTTTTATTACCACATCGAATGCAATTTAATGCCAGTTTCACAATCATACTGCCCAAAGTATGAAAGTATGATGGAAAACCAGCAGGGACGATATGTCCTAGAATTTTTTCATCATCTCACAGCAGTAGAGAACAATAATTTCCAATGATATAACTAAGTGAATTAATGCAACCTGGATCCAGAAGAGCGCCATACAATGGATGGATAGATTAACCAATTAAAAATTATTAATTTAAGGTTTTTGCTAAAAAATAAAAATACATGCCCATTATGAGATGATGAGCTTCCTAGTTACTGTAGCTAGCAGTAGTGACTGTGTTTGCTACAGGCCTGATGGTGGATTGAACAGCCTCCTGCAACACAAACCACTGTTGCAACCATCCTTCTTGTAGTGTGCAATAACCCACAATCAAAGGTAACTAACATTAATCCTTTAGAATTTAAATAAAATGTTTTGCAGGGCTTTTTTTAAGTAAACTAAAATCAATGCTTCTTAAGACTTTTGAAGACCTCCAGATGCCCTGTACTGAAATAAGAGATCAAGTCCCTCCTTTGTGTTTTGTGTCATTTCTTTCTTTACGGTTTTACTTTGCTGGTCCAAAGGAAAGGGGGACACACATTTGACTTTCCAAGCACAATGCAAACTGAATTTAGTTTACATGCAATTCACCAGTCAGATAAATGATAATACATATTAAATTAAATGGGTCATTTACAAAGTTTACATTGTGGTCCCTTCAATGGATAGGGAGTGTGCACATAGTGTGAAATTAAGTTCATTTTATATTTGTAATATTTTAATTTTGACTTAAGTTGCTTAGTGTGTAAAACGTCACTTCCTTGCTTATTAAACCTTCATTAAAATCATTGCACATACACAGTGCATTGCAAAATGCACAGAGGTGCTCATCCTTTTCTAGTAAAATCAAAGAAGGGTCAATTTTTGCATTCTCATTAAAAACAACACTTGTAGATGCACTGTACCTTCTGCTGCAGGAGAGAAGGTGATGCCCTCTCTCTCGTGAAGTGGCAGGGCGCTGAGTCTGGGAATATCATCTGGCACCATGGCACGGGGCTGCCCCAGAGCCACTGCTGCTGCCCGACAGACATGTTTGATCCTTGGACCGCCCAGCGGCTGCTCCTGCACACAAATAAAAAAAATGTTACTACTGTGGGAATAATTTGGTAGTAAACAAATTATGGTACATCACTGTGATATGTAAACAAACCTCCCTATAAAATATAGTCTCCCGTTACACTAACAGTATGATATAAGTGCAAAGGATAAAAGCAAATCCTCTAACAATGACGGCCTCTACCTCTGAGGTGCTGTTACTGTCTTTTCACTGACTGTTTAATTTTGAAGGTGTTATTATGCATTATGCATTATTTAATCTATTTTCTGGTATGTGGATATATCTCAGAAGATGTTAATTTTCAAATGCTTTGTGTGCTAACAGCACGTTTTTTTCCTTTTAGGATTGAATCTTATGGCTGGACACCCTTACACTGTCATTAACTGGCTTTTCTCATGAGTGCCTGCACAGCAGAAAGCAGTACACACAAACAAATACAGGCAGCCAGAGAGTTATAGAGAGGAGCATGACATTATTATTATTATTATGATTATTACAACAAACACCGTGAACTGACTTGGACTTATTCAGCAAACTCAAACATAACATAAAAACACACATTTTCATGTTAAAGTATTACCTGAGGACCAGTATCTTTGGGAGATACACCAACTCTCCTCCTCCTCCTCTTCCTCCTCCCACTCACTGGCACACGTGATTCTCTGGAGCCCAGCTATTGGTTGAGACAAGGAAGAAAAACATGTTTAGCTGATGCTTTTATCCAAAGGGACTATACCTTTCTAAATTGACAACCAAACTATGTGTAAAAAGAATTTTTACTTCTTCTTTACAGGATGTAGCAATTCTGGATGATGTCATTTATCAATTACATAATACTACTACTACTACTACTACTACTACTACACACACCTTATATTTTTCCCCCATTGTAGATTATTCAGTTCCACATTTATTTTATTTAATTGTTTGGTAAATAAAAAATGAAATGATGAAAAGAACCTGTCGCAATTTCCCAGAGACCACAGTGACATTCATTAATATATTTTTTTCTGACCAACAGTCCAAAACAACAGCTATTCATTTAGGGCTGAACCATGACAACTCTAATAGATTGCAATTAGATTTGCGATTTCTTTGTACAGTTCAGTTAAAGTTCAACATTCACTGCCAGTCTATTTTTGACAGAAGCTGTGTCAAGCAGCACAAAGCAGATGAACGAATCCGGTCAATTTTCTAAATAAAACACCCTGAGCAGACTCCCGATCGTATATCAACAATAAACACAATTAAAACAGCCAAAAAAATAAATAAAAATAAAAATGACTATGTAGCCTACTTAACCATGCTAAAAGCACAAAAAGCAAGGACAACCAAACAAATCAACAAAATCTGAACAAGTCAGCAAAATGCTCTTATGCTGAAATGCTCCATGTGGGATATGTAGAAGTGCCAAGAGTGGAACAAAACCGGCTCACAGAGAGCTGTTATCCCTAGTTGAAGCTCACAAAATGAAAAATTAGCAACATGTCAACAAATTAGGGCAGGCTAAACGCTCTGCTGCTGAAACACTTCAATGCGAGTTGCCCAGACGCCGCCGCCTGTGTCAGTTCGGCTGACAACATCATCCCACCTTTTCCTCTCGTTTTGTTTGTTGTTTTAAAATGTACACGCCCGCTCTGATTGGTGAGTAGGTCTGCAACAGGAGGCGCATGCGCTTGTGAGTGGTTAGCAAGTCTGTCACACGAGGATAACAACAGAATGAATTTGTAACTGCATGACTTTAAAACGAGTCAGATTAACCTACATTTTTAATTGCAGTCTTCACGATTAGCTAATCACGTTCTTTCAAATCGCAATTCGATTTGAAAACCATTAATTGTTCAGCCCTATATTCAATTCACAATGATATAAAACAGAGAAAGGCAATCCATTCTCATTTTAAGCACCTGGAAACAGCAAATGTTTAGCATTTCACCTTGAAATGAATACTTTTTTACGACTTACTGACAATCAAATTTATTGATCTATTGATTCATCGACTTATCATTTCAGCACTAGAGATTATAGTGGCTTTGGAACTACCTACGATGTACAGGCAGGTTTTTAAGACCAAGAAATCTTCTTTTCCACTTGCACAGATTTGGTCTTGGATTCTTACCTGTGATAACTTCAGCTGCTTCTGCTGATCAATCTTGATGAGCTGGACTTTGGCTTTCTTCAGCAGGTGGAGCATCGTCTTATTGGCTCCACTGAGACCAATTCGATGGCTGGGCCCACTGACTTCCCACGGCTCATGACTGTCCCCCGTCATGCTTCCTGCCTCATCTTTACCAAACAGCATGAATAAAGCAACTCTGGTTAGATGACGCACAACCAAAAACCTCATTATTCCAGGACCACCTCAATTTCTCCGGTAAGTCTTTCCGGTCTTTTTATCTTAAAAATTGCATCAATAAAAATAAAAAAAGTCTCTGTTGACTCAGTTTAACCTGACCTCAACTGTGCAGTCCCATTAACATTAAAACATCTTACTATTCAAAAGACATTTCATAAAAGAGGAACAATTTGGACCTTCGCAACAACGAGCATTTGTAAACACCAAATCAGTTCAGTTAAAGTTCAACATTCACAGTCTAAAAGGTTAAGCAGCAAGACCTTGATAAATAATTACACAAGAAGAAGAAATAACCCTTACTATTGTTGCCTGTGTCTCCTAACAGCACGTGTGAGGGCGCTTCCACATCAGTGTTCACCACCACGGCCAGTTTCCTCACAACACCAGGAGAGTCCATCTCCTCCATCATCAGCTTTGACCTCCGCCTCTTCTTCCCATGAGAGGTCAAACCGTCGCCATGATGTGGATAATCCCCCCGAGCGTCAGGCCGGCCTTTCTTTTTCTCCGCCAGTTTCAAGGTCAGTTTCTTGAGGTTCTTGTAGATCTCTAGGTGGCTGGTGCCTGGATTGGCCTTTGATGAAAACTTTGTCACTGAGGGTGGGCTGTCGACCACAGACAGATGGTCAGTGTCTGACTGCAGGGAGTTGTCGTCATAGATTGATTCGTGACATGATGGACTTGGCTTTGCGTCCTCTCTTTTTTGACTTTTCAGCCATGTTGACAGACAACCCTTTGGAAAGGGGATCATTTCCTCGTCCAAGAACCTCTTCGGAGTTTTAATAACGCGGGAGGAACGAGCACTCGTTACAGAAGTGGAGGAGTTGTTTGAGCTCTGCTGCACTTGTTCAGAAAATGAGCTCGGCTGACCCTCTGATGAAGTGATATTCTGACCTCTCAGCTGCAGCTCATTCCCGTCCGGCATCAGTGTGGCTGGTAAGGGCTCAGGTACATAGGTGTAAAAAACACGCCTAGTGCGAATACTACCCAATTTAGGACCTGTCTGAACGTTTTTTGTTGGCTTTCGCCTATGCCCAAACAAAGATCTGCGTTGATGTCTTTTGGGTGTTCTTTTTTCAGAGGAATCTGTGGCTTTACACTCGAGGGGCATTGCCGCCTCTTCTCCACTCTGTGCACCGGCCTCGGCTCCAGCCTCTGGAGAGGCACCCATGCCCTTAGCCGTTCTCTTTCTCTGCCGTTTGTGAAAGGATGTGAACGACAGAGCAACTGCTTGAGATGTGCGTTTTGTGTGCCCAATTCGAAACCCCCTCATGCGTTTCACCGACCTCTGTGGCTGGGATTGGTCTGTGTCTGAATCCTCCGACACCTCGCCTCGTTCTTTGACCTTGGAAGCTTTTCCTGCACCCTTGACTGCTGTCAGAGCGCTCATTAGCTTATCTTGCTTGGTGCCACCAGCTGAGGTAGCGGCTGTTTGGTTCTGCATGCTGCCTGAGTCCACTGATTTTCTTGCTTTCCTGATAAAGTCAGCCGACCTTTTACTGCCCTGTCTACCTGAGGCCTGCTCGTCTGCATGTTTGGCTTTTGCAGTGAGAGCTACCTGCTTGCCATGCAGTTTAATTACCACCTTTGGCATTTCTTTGTCTTTTACGGAGCTCTCTTTGACACACTGGCTTTCTTTAGAGACCCTCGGTACAATTTTCCCAATAAGTACCGCTTTTGGGGATTTGGGAATAATTTTTCCAACGAGAGGCTTCGCTCCAGGAGAATGTTCTGAAGCTTGAGGAGGCTTTGCTTGGCTTAGTAACGATGACTGAGGGACAGTGCCAGAAGTTTTCTGTGGACGAACTGTTTTGGTCCCAAATCCAGTGAAATCTTCCTCCTGGAGAAATACAAAGAAAGTAAAATCTTTAAATGGCTGTAATACAAGACTTGGGCATGTTAAAAAAGAACTGTGGGTCTGTACACACCAGACCTAAAACACACACCATTGCCTTATCATAGCTTAAAGCCTAACTGACAATTAGGAAAATACTTTTTCTATAAAATAGGCCTGAAAATAAACAGAAAATAATTACAAACATGTAGCAGATCTTCAATATCCAGCATTTCCATACTACTGAGTTGAGGTTAAAGTTACAATGAAGATAATTAAACAAATGTACTACTTGGTCTGCCCAGTATTGTCATATATCATAACAACATGTAAAAGTACAACAAGTTTGTGCAATTGATCTTAAATTTCAGTCAGGCCACTGCAGGCATTATGAAACTCAAACTTTCAATAATTTCTCACCCACTTCTAAGTTAATCATTTGATATTCAGGTATTCACCCTGCTGAGAATATGGTTCAGAATCAACACTGTTGTCTACTCTTACTCCCGTGTTGCATCAGTATAGTGCTGAGGCACCAAAATGAAGCAGCTTTTGGATTCCATGAATCAACATTAAGAAATAACAACAGATTCTCCACCTGTGCACAACCTCTCTCTAGACATGTCTAATTTCTGGTGACATATATATACATTTTTTAGAAATAAATGAGGAGTGTAGCACTCTGGGCACAGTGGAATAAAACCCTAAAAGAGTGATATTCTAATGCAAAGTACTGGAAATATACACTCAAACTCCATCACTAAAAAAGTTTAAATAGACCCTTTGGAGCACAGTCTGCCTCCAGCATCCTCTCATTCAGCCACCTCGGATGCAAAGATTGAACACTACAGCAGATCAAAAGCACACTTGAACCTGACTTCCAATTACTCACATCCATCTTCATGCACAAAATATCGACTCTGTAGATTTGTCAGCGGTGAAACTCCCCTAATGATATCTATTCCAAAGCACTGCAGAGAAACATGAGTGTGTGGCACTAAGTGAGGTGTGGTACTCCAGTTGAGCAGCACCCACAAGCTTTAGCCTGGGACATGTGATTCTGTTACAATCTACTCTAAAGGGATTGCATCAGTAAAATCCGACTGATGTCAGACACTAAAGCCCTGCTCAGGAGATTAAATAATATCATTAGATCCAATCTGGCATCATATCATTATCACCACCCTATCTGACTGGGGCTAAAATGAGCCCGACTTAAAGTAAATGACACCTAAAACACAAGTTTCTTCACAGTGCGGCAGATTCAAGTCCTCTCTTGTGTGTCCTATAATATTTATGTCTCATTTTGACAGAAGACTCCAGCTTGTCCCAATTAGAGAGCACACTCACAGATTCCTCTTTAGCATAACCTTCACACCCCTTTCATCAATTGAAGGGACACATGCATGATGACAGTGATGAATGTTTGTAAACACTATGCAAAATTCGGTTTTAGAGAGGCATTCGGCCATGTTTTCGTGATTTTAATTATAACGTCTAGATAACGTTTTCCTTTCATGTGCATCCCACGTTGTGGTGACGTTCAAAACACCGAGCAGTCAGCTGATAGCTCCAACGTGGAGAGTGCGAGTCAGCAGCAGCTGCGTTTTATTTACGACAAAGCTAAGCAGCCTGTGGATGCCAGGCACAGTGAGGGAAGTTCAACTCAACAAAACGTGTCAGGGGACGGATAAACAAAAGCATCTCCCGGTTTCCACAACAAAACGCATCCCAGACTGTTATCATACCGCCAAAGTTTCCGCCTAGTGTTCGTTTTATGCAAACAAACTCAGCTGAACGGACACCGATCCCTGTGAATGTATGGCGGCAGCAACTTACAGTATTAATATAGCAATTTCTACTCATATCTGCAGAGGCGATCAGCCTGGAAATACTCACCCATCAACCAATCTGAAGCATGACGTTACCTGCAGGCAGACGGCTAGCTGTAATGCCTGTTTTGGGTTAGTGTTTGCAAGCAAGTTACAGCTAACTAGCTCTACGTTAGCTTAAATACTTTTTTGTAAGGAACACATTGTTTTATATTTCGTTCTTTTAAAAGAACTGGCTCTACGAGTCCCATTAGTCGTGTTGTTACCCATCTAGCTAACATGCTATTGTTAGCTTATTCACCTCCTCACTGTCGCTGGAGTGGAACCCCGCATCTCTCTGCCGCCTGTGCTTCTCCGCCACCCCGAGCAGACGCAGCAGGGACGGATCCTCGCTCAACGCCAGGCCGATGTTTACGGGCCTCGGCCCTCCGGAAGCCAGATCCCCGTCGTCCGAGCCCAACCTTCCGCGTTTGGTACGTTTTTCCGACCGCAGCCTGCTTCGAGCTGAGCACGGCCGACCCGGGAAACGAGACCGGGCCGGCGCCTGGGTGCTCAAGCCCGCGACGGCCGCGGGAGATGATAATCCGCCTCCCGATGCCGCCATTATTTCCTACAACAACAGGGACGGCGCGCTGGCAGAGGGTGACAGCAGCGATATGCGAGGCAAGATGGACTGCGCAGAGGCAAAGGCGCGAGATAGAAAGGAACGACAAGTGCATCATGGGAAAACGAACTTCTCCAACCGAGGACGCCCCCTATGACGAACACTGGGCGACGTCGCTTGTGTAGAGAAACTAACTTTCTTTAGGTAGGTATTTAGGTACATGTTTTAATCATTCTTGTGTTTGAATTGAAGTTTGTGGAATGCAAAAGTCATATAATGATAGTGCCAGTGATGGAAGAAGTAATATATTGATTCTTTATTATTAAACTAATTCTACATTGCTCATGTTATGAATTTTTGCACATTCTTTGTTAATTATCCTGTATATTTTTTGCATTTTTATATCATTTGTACATTTTTGATCTCTTTACTTTTTCTATATTTATATTTCTATATTTATGCTTATACTGTTTATACTGCTTATACTAGGCACCAATAGGCAAATTTGTATGTGAAAATGTACCTGGTAATAAACCTGTTTCTTAAGTATTCAGATCGTTACTTGAGTAAAAGTAACAATATTTTAATGCCACTGTTGGTGGCCTAGTATTATTATAATATAGCTAATTTTAACTGTTTTATGTACTGTTATTTAAACCTATAACAATGCAGCATATTTTTATGAATCACTATATGTTTTGTATGTAAATATTGAACTGCAAAGTCAATTGTAGTTATGAAGTAAATGTAGTGGATTAAAAGAAACCCAGTATTTCCCTCAAAAATGTAATGGAATAGAAGTATATGCATAAAATGGAAAGTAGTAAAGTATGTCAAAATTGTACCTAAGTAGGCTACAGTACAACTTAGTTACTTTACACCACTGGATAGTACTGAGAAAAATCACTTAGAAATTGTCGTCAATGATAAATCTAGCAACATGTTCACAAGTTTTGTTTTTGTGTGAACAAAGAAAAACTAATTGTAGCTTTAAACAGTATATGAGCAAAACTTCACATAAATCTTGGAAATAAATGTTTAGTGATATTTGTCATCTTATCAACAATTCGTGGGTTAGCATCCATACAGTATTCCAATGTTAGTGGCCTACAAAGCCATTTCAATTTTGAGTAAGGTTAGTTAATTACCAAAAAGTTTTTCTTCCTTAGCAAACAAAGCGCTTTACATTTTTTCTCTCATCCCACCCTCAACACACACACCCACACACACACACACAAAGTGACAGCCAAAGACACCACAGAAAAGTATTATAAATTAAACAATTATTTATTTTTGGAAAGAGAAAAAAAAGACCCCAAAATCACATTATTGATGGCCAATAGTACAGAATCTTATACACTGCCCATTTATCGGATGTTGGATCTTATTACATTTAGGACTTACATTCTCCATGTAATTCCCACACTTGAGGGAGAATACGGTAGTGACCTACAATGAATATAAAACATTTCAGGTACAATAGAGGTAATACGGACAGCAAATAAGGCTTTGAGACATGAGCTTATAGTGGGCATACATCATAATTACAGATCAGTACAGAATTTTATTTAGTTATTGCTTTCTAAAAGCAATTGGAACAGGCATTCCAGAAACAACCTCCATAATTGAATTGTGTTGCATAACCTTGCTTCAAAAATATTTACATATAAATATTCTACCTACACTAAACATAATATGGTGAGAAAGACAATCATTTAACTGAATGATGTAGGATGAAGTTGAATTCTTTTCCCCATGTATTATCTTTTTTCTGCTACCTCCTCTCTCTCCATGTGGGTGTTCTGGTGGATCTTTAGGAGTCTCTCTCGTGCAAAGCTCTCTCCACAGGTAGGGCAGGTGTATCCAGAGCAGTGAGCCCTGGCCATGTGTGTTTTGAGCTGTTCAGGTCGAGAGTAGCTCTCATCACACTCTGTGCATGTGTGAGCCTTAAGAGGTGGAGCCCCATGCCTGTGCCTCTTGTGTGCCCGCAGGGCTGCAACAGAAGGAAATACGAGGTCACAATCTGCTTCAGAACAAGGAATCTTGAGCTCTGTTTGTAGCTCATTGGAGGGACATCCCTCCGAGTCATTGTATACTTCGCATTCCTCTGCTCCCTCTTCTTCTTTGATCTTCTTGCTGTCAATCCTCCCTCCTTGAGCGGCGTTCTTGGGTTTACGGCCCCGTTTTTTTCCTTGCGGCTTAACGTCACAGTTTAGTTCACTAGCAAATCTCTCCTGGTGCTGCAGAAGCTCCTCTTCTGTCTGGAAACCACGACCACATTTGCAGCATTGGTAGGTGTTGATGTCATCAGCCACTACCGGGTGCTGGGGGTGCATTGCCATGCGATGGTTACGAAGTCGTGAAGGACTGGGGAACAAAGCGCCACAGTCCCTGCAGGGACACCGTCGTTCTATGCACTCATGTCGTCTGTGTTTGTTCAGCTGCAAGGCATTTGAAATTATCATCATCATAGATAATAAACAATTATTTTATAATTTCCCAAGCACAAAAAAACAGGCTTACATATAGCTTGCAGGCCTCACCTCAGTGAAGGTAAAGAAGTTTTTCCGGCAGTAAGGACAGCGGAAGGGCTTCTCCTCTCTGCTGTGGGTAGCCTGGTGCTGGCTGAGCTCCTCAGAGGAGGAGAAGCTCTTGTCACACTTATAGCAAGTGAAGACTGTATCAGTCTGCAGAAAGATGAGCAGAAAACTGGTTACAAATATGAAGTCGGAATTCAAGGCTTTATTCACTGCTTTTTTTGTGTGTGTAAAGAGTGAGTGTAAGTGTAAAGAAGTTTACAATTGTCAACTGAATAATTTTGTCTGATCTCTCAGCTATTTACAAACCAAATTATATTTTGTACAAAAAAACTAAATGAAATTTTTTATCCATACAACAGCCTGACTGGTACATCAACACGGCCAACATTGGCTTAACACAGCTACTTTATATCAGTATCAGCAATGCAGAAGAAATTTCAACACGGATATGCCAAAGATTTGTTTGAGGTTATTTATAGTGTTCCCCTCACATAGTTTGTCCAACAGAGAAGACTGTTTTTCATCTGTAAAATGTCCCATTACAGTACGTAGCTTGGTCAAAATTCTTTCATAATCAAACAGAAGGGATTTATTATGTATTTTTCCCCCAAAAATTCTAAAATATTGATATCAGCCACAAAAATCCCATCTCACTTAATACTGCAGTTGCAATTCACAGAAAAACAATTACTTGAGCTGAAACAATTTATCAGCTCTAGTAATTAGCTGAAACAAATTTATCACCAACAACATGGATAATCAAGAAATTGTTAATTGTTAAAACATTATGAAATTTTACTAATTCTATCATCTCAAATTTGAAAATTTGCTGCGTTTAGTTTCTTTCTGATACTACACTTTTTTCTACATTTTGGGACTGTTGGTATCACAAAATCAGATACTGAATACATCAATTTGCTCTATGGGAAACTGAAACAAGCATTTTCAGTATTTTCTCATATTTAATGCACCAAATGATAAATCAACAAAACAGTTTGTATGATTCCTAGAAGCCTAACTTTTCATTTTGAGTCTGCTTATCCCTACCTGCTGAAGCTGCAGCTTGTATTGGTCCCGGTGACTCTTCCTCATGTGTCTCTCCTTGGCTTTGGAGTTACAGAAAGTGATGAAGCACTGAAAACACTGCAGACTCTCATGCTGATCTGCATCACGAGATGACAAGGTGTTTCATAAAAATTTAGCATTTATTTATTGCCGGATGTTTAGTTACAACTAAGTAGGGGATAGATAAATATGACTGCAGACCATTACAGCTTGTCTCATGTGATCGTGATGCATATAAATGTTTTCTTACAGGACTGCAGAGGGACGACCGCGGGCTCAGACTTGATCTCCGCTGAGGTGGATCTCTTCTCACCCCCGACAATGACTTGCTCTATCTTCATCATCTCCATGCTGATGCTTTCAGAAACTACCCGGGCCACATGGAGCTGTAACAGAGGGACACACAGATGTTGTGTGCTGTTAGCGGGCAAAGCGAAACTGAGATGACTGCAGTGGCAGACCAGGCGAAGTTAAACCGCGTAACGTTACGAGACATGGCGATATTTCGGCTAACTGAATACAAAGAAAATTTTCTAAAATAAATACACACCACATGGGCGTTTTTATTATTTTATTTCGGCCAAATTAATTTTGAAATAAAGACAAAACAAAACCGCTAACCACAGGCCTGAGCTACTTGACAGAAGGATGGAGGCAACGGGCAGTGGTTGTCATGTACAACTCAACTAACAACTACAAGCGAAACGATTGTGTTCACATATTTTTACAATATTTTAGTTTGTGCTCCCTTGTGCTTTAATTCCATGTTGTACCTACGTGCTTTAAAGCTGTATCTCTTTCATTAATTTTGACTTAAGGCTTTGTAAACAATTCAAAAAGGTATCCATGTCTTACCGTGCGAAACGTCCATCTGGCAGCGGTGAAGATTCTCTCCGCATCACGTGATTTGGGAACGGGAAAGGCCGCTGCGTTATCGCGAGATTATGGAACTGCCGCTCTCTCAGGGTTATGTTTGTGTGCGTTGTTTGTAGATTGGCTTAACTATCCTCCAGGGCAAATACCTTCCCCACCAATAAGTTTTTAAAGGTGAAACTGTTTACGTCATTTAATACCTAGATGGGCTCAGACTACAGACGGCTTCCTTGTAACAAAACAAATGCCATATACAGTAGCATTTTTTGGTGGAAATTATTAAAAACTACATTAAACTGAAACTATCAGTTTAAAAATATGAACAAATTAACACATTTTTACATGCAAAAACACACACAAAAACAGACAATGATTAAAATACTACAAAGACAAAACAAAGTCTAACTTAAAGGTTCATATAATTTTATTGGTAGTTTAACCACACAAGGCAGACGCATCAATGCTAAACTTGATGATGAGGTGATAAGACGGCACATTATCGCTTTAAATAATTTGTCAGTGACACAAGCAGAGGGTTAGACAGCATATGAGGCAGAAGAATAGTTCAAGGAGGGGAAGGAGCCATTTAAGCCCTGCTCTGCTGCTGCTGCTGCTTCTGGTATTCAGAAATACGGCTTTCCATCACAGGTCTGAAGTGCCTGATCAATCCCTGAGAAAACAGAAAAGAGAATAAAAGGGAAAATCGTACATTAATTTTGCTTGATGTAAAATAGAACAATAACAGAGGTTGTACTACAACAGTATGTCTGTATATCTTTACAAAAAAAAGCACTGTAGGTGTTAATTCCTGGAAGAAAACTGGTAAAGTTTTAATATTAAGGTTAAAAAGGAGAAAGGACCTAGAGAACATTTGTTTTGAGGTTATGCTTTGTGGTTGTGAGTTTACTCTTCATAGCCACAACTAGCTAAACTGAATGAAATCCAATATAACAGCCCAGCAATAAATCTTTCCTTTATGGAAGCATATTATATTCAGTTTTTATCACTCTGCTGGCGACGAGGTGTAGATTGAATTCTGTGGTAATCTTAAATGGGGGTGTCAATTTCCCAGATGCCCCTTTTAATTCTTCCAATGACCCTGTTAGTATAGAAATGCATTATGACATGTTTACCTGCACTGGCCATGCCGCACCATCTCCCAGGGCACAGATAGTGTGACCCTCAATCTGCTTACTGAGCTCCCAAATCATGTCGATCTCTGCTGGCCGTGCATCACCTTGCACAAAACGCCACATCATTTTATTCATCCAGTCCACTCCTACAGAAACAGACAAAAGGGGGACACATTTATAAGTTTGTAAGAGGTACAGACAATGTGTGTAGCATTAAGGTCGGTGCTGTCGATGCATAAAATAACTTACCTTCTCTGCAGGGTGTGCACTGGCCACAGCTTTCATGTTTGTAGAACTCAATCAGGCGTGCGATGGCTCTGATAATGTCAGTCTGCAAAAACAAAGCATCCAACAATGTAATAAACGTTTAATGGCGTCTTTATGCATGAGTAATTATGCTGCCGAGGTGGCAAACTTACAGATTTGTCCATGACAATAATTGCAGCTGTCCCCAGGCCAGTCTGCGCCTGGATGAGGCCGTCAAAGTCCATCAGCACCTCTTCACACACATTCTTGGGAATGAGGGGTGTTGAAGAACCACCGGGGATTACAGCCAGCAGGTTATCCCAACCACCGCGCACTCCACCTACCGGACAGATGTTTGGTTTATTAAGTAAAAAAAAAAAAAGCATTCATTCAGGCTGTGCTTACGTTAAGCTATCTTAATCTTTTCTGTCCATGACCCCCTCAGTGCAGGAAAACGCATGCAGAGAAACAAATGATGCCTTCCAGGTTTTCCCTTTACACAAGCTTCATTTCATTATTTACAGAAGGGGGATAACAATTCACAAGAAAAACCCACCCAGGTTTTTCTTGGGTGACAACTCATATCATAAAAATATCACAAACATCTCACTCTATGCGCTAGTGTGAAACCCAATGTGTTATTATTAACTCAAGAATGTTGTCGCTCATTACAACATTACATATATTTTGTGACACCTTCTTAGTCTGTACCTGCGTGCCTCTCGATGAGGTCTTTCAGAGGGACAGACATCTCCTCCTCTACAGTACAGGGATGATTAACATGGCCAGAGATGTTGAAGAGCTTTGTGCCGGAGTTTCTCTCTCTGCCAAAGCCCAGAAACCACGTGCCTCCACGCCGACAGATGGTGGGCGCCACTGCTACAGTCTCCACATTGGCGACAGTTGTTGGGCAGCCAAACACACCTTTAAGAAAGCAGCAGAGGTGAGGTAGATATTTCAGAACTGCTTTTATTTAGCGGAAACAACAACAGTCCAGCAGTAGCGCCCTGTGTTCGGATCATAATTACTAGTAGGTTGATGAAAATGTGCTGTGTGATACAAGCTAAAGGACTACTAAGATCAATGTTTTTCCATGTTTTCCACTGGAACTCACCCACATCAGCAGGAAATGGGGGCTTCAGTCGGGGCTTCCCCTGCTTCCCCTCCAGGGACTCAATAAGCGCAGTCTCTTCTCCGCAGATGTACGCTCCAGCACCACGCATCACATACACATCAAAGTCGTAACCAGAGCCACAGGCGTCCTTTCCAATGAGCCCAGCAGCATAGGCCTCATTGATAGCCACCTAAGAAGAGATAATAAAAACACAGTATGTAATGAAATGAAATTATTTGGATTTGAAGATAGTGTTTCTGCTTGAACTGTTAGAACAATATGTGAAGACATCAAATGCAACTTTGCTCAGATTGTTTTGTTACACACAAGATATATAGGGATGGACCGAAATGAAACCAAATATAATGAAAACATTTGCTGAATACCGAACAAGTACATTCACATATTTTCCTTTTATTTTGCCTTTTTTACCATTGCATAAATTAAATAGTCTAAATGTGCTTTTTACTGAGTGTTTCCTACAGGATCTGGAGAGACTATGGCGGATGGGTCCGAGGCCCAAGAGGGACCAGTAAAGTAAATTACATGTGTCCAATTTAATAAATTATGTCGTATGTGATTCTCGTATAGCGTAACATGAAGACTTCATAGCCTCTCTTCAGGTCAGACTCTCATACTGCAACATTTGTCTTTGTAAAGAGAGAAAATGACAGGATAAAGTCGGCATTTCTGTGGATTTACCATAAAGGCTTGAATACGTGTGCAATCCAAATTTAGGTGCAGCTAGCTTAATCGCTTTCTCAGAAACGAGTGACAGAAACACTCAAAGCGGGTCAGACCGTTTGTTGCCTTTTTTAAGAAGTCAGCCACAGATGGAGTGGATGTGCTGGGAAAAAATTCAGCAGAACAGTGTCTGCAAACAGTGATTTTTGTGTCTTTCTCTGACTTTTTAAAATGCTTCCACACTGCCGACATGCAAGCGTAACTTTTTGGTAAAATTTGTTTGGTCTTTTGATGTATTAGGACGATTATTTTCAGTGGCCGAACATTCGGTGCATCCCTAAAGATATATGGAGTAAATGTACAATTATTTTAAACTCTGTAATGTTAAAGTTTATGTCTCAGATTTAATTCTGTCCATTTTCACCTGCAGGTTGGACGACTCATTGTAGAACTCTCCTCTGATGTAGATATAAGCAGCACGTGCCCCCATGGCTCTGCCAGCAACCAGGCAGCCCTCCACCAGCTTGTGTGGGTCATTCCTCATTATCTCCCTGTCTTTACAGGTGCCAGGTTCTCCCTCATCTGCATTCACCACCAGATACTTTGGCCTAAAGCAAAAAATTAGAACTGGGTTAAATAGGGTACAGCAAATTAACCCCTCCCCAAATCAACGTTTAGCTACAAGCAACCATCTAAATATGGTTAACCTGCCAAATAAATCCAGACAGATCCAGCTAGAGCCAACCAAGATTTTAAAGATTTTAATAGCTTCTTATAAAAGGCTGGTGGGGATAGTATTTATGAAAAATAAACTTTTAGAAAGGTTTATTTAAATATCAAGCTAATATCAATCAAATTTAGCTTTGCCAATTGTAAGATTTGGTTACTTTTTAATGAATAATCAATACATTCACTGTAAAAACAACCGTCAGTTATTTGAATTTATCACCCATGTGCTAAGATATCCCAGATAACCATTCAAAGCACCTAAAATTATTTTGAGAAACCAGTGCAAATGCAGCACATTAAGAAAAACCGAAACTCTTCACGGTTGTAGCTCCAATTTTTGAATTTGACTCTGTAAGCAATTTGTGTCTTTCCATAAAAATCTGTTAAAATGACATGAAAACATCAAGCAAATAAAAGATTAGATGTCTCTCTCGTCACTAACCTGCCATCGCTGGGCTTGTTCATGAAGCTCCACTTCATGCCAGTAGGGAAACCAGCTCCGCCTCTCCCACGCAGGCCAGAAACCTTGATCTCGTTGAGGATCCAGTCGACTCCCTTCAAAAGGATCTCTTTAGTTTTGTACCAGTCACCACGCTTCAAAGCCCCCTTAAGCCTAAAGCACAAATATGTGAAAGTGAGAACTGTGTTCTGTTTTTTTATTGAAATTTTTATAAAGTTTTAAATTAAACAAAGATGTCATGTCAAAAATGACAGGAATTCTTCTTTTACTCCTCATCACATCATTTTGTTTTGTGTAAGATCAAATCAATATGGATATTATGTTTTAGATTTTACAGAGCATATGAGAATAACATCAGGGGTATTACCTCCAGTCATGACGGCCATAAAGGTTTGTGAAAATTCTGTCTTCATCTGCCAGAGGTCCAAATGTTGTTTTCTTCGGGGCACTCTGGGAAAATAAGACAAACACACAAAAAGATGTTAACCAGATTGTTACTATTTCAATTTTGAGTTGTTAACAAAGTATAGGCCAGGTACCTGTGCTGTGCTGTTGAATCGAGTGATGGCAGTCACTCCGCCCTGACTGACAGCAGCTGGAGCACGGGCCACCCCACACACAACTGCTCGAGTCAGGGACAGCATCCTTCCTGCAGGGAGGACGGACCATTACAAGACAAGTCAAATAGATAGTTTAGGTTACTTAAGTTTACAAAGAAATGTAGGATCATAGTTAGTGGTGCAACTGATGATTGTTTGGTCAATAAAATGTCAGTCAATAAATGCCCATCATATTTTCCAAGTCCAAGGTGACATCTTCAAATGGCTTGTTTTGTCCAACCAATAGTCCTAAGCCCAAGGATATTCACTTTACAATAACAAAAAAACAATAAAGAAAAGCATCAACTCCTCATATTTGAGGCTGGAACCAGACAACTGGAATTATTAATCATCAAAGCTGTAGCCATATCCATTGACTAAGCTCTGTTCCAAATATAATTTTCAAACACATCACAGCAAAATGTGTCTCCCTTGTAGTCGTAAAAGTTAAAGCAGAAAATAATCATTTCTCTCAGTGAGATGATGACAGGGTATTGAACCTCAGTACTTTTCAGTAAGCTGGCACTGAATTTTGAGGTCTATTTTTCAAGTTTTGCATGATTATTTGTCAAAAGATCATGTCCATATGCTTGTGTTCAGACAACCATTAACATTGGAGACACTAAATTCGTTTGTGTTTAGTACAGAGAAAGGTGCACATGGTATCTCTCAAATAATGTAATGGAAAAGAAGTATAATTTTGATGAGATACAAAAACTCGGGTATGGTAAATATCGGTACTAGTATATATACTCTTTTGCAAAACTGAAGAATGGCTACTAGCTAAAATAGCACCAGAGTATCAACCAATCAGTGTATAAATGATACTACAGATCTAGACAGATTACTGTCTTATGTATCTTAATGGCCTTCGTTTTATTATACAGGTGTCAAGCTGTAATTTCCTGTAATAACAACCTTTTGCGATAACTACCAAACATCTTTTCAAACCAATAAACAGCATCAAAACAAGGTGAGTGAAAGCCGAGGCTGGTTGTGTTTCATTAGCAGTAGTATTTTATTTCAACACAATAAAGGTAACTTTAACTAACACTAGATTAACTTTAATTTTTTGTTGGCGACAAGTAGATATTTTAATGAAATATCTTTTGGTAGCAGAACAGCTTTGACAGAGACCTTGTGTAACTTCTTACGTGATGTTGTTATGTCAGAGAGGTAACGTTACTCAGAGTTAGCTAGCTAACTTAACCAAGGTGAAGGCGAGTGCCAGCTGTTTTATCAATACTGTAATATTTTAGGCCAACACAAGTGTAAAGAAATTGCATAATTGTGGATTAATATAAACTCCTCTGCCTTTGCTTAAGTGTGATGTTACACACTGACCTCCATGCTCATACAACTAGCTGCTGCTAGCCTAGCGCTTAGCTAAATTAGCTAGCGGTTAACCTTGTAATGTCAGAATACAAGCAGCGGATTATCGACGTCGCCTCCTAATCTCAAACAGACAACATATGAATGAACTCGTTAATATCAGCTGAGCAATAAAACGAAGAGTCGTTTATTTGTAAGCTAGCAAACAGTCAGTCCTTCTTACCTTCTCTACGTCCCGAGTTTATGAAATATAGACAGGAAGTACATGAGCACACGGCCGGAAACTGTCAGCAACAACACAGCTGCAGCGCCGCGGAGGATTATTTAAATATTTTGCCTGCACAACATGCCGACTATGAACCAACCTTTTTGCATTTAAGAAGATATTCTAGATTAAATTCATAACAACAGTATTTCCTCAGACCTAAAGGTCAGTGTTTGTGTGTGTGTGTGTTTAGATGAACTTTTACCGTACCTGGGTATTTCCATTTTGCAAAGATACTTACTCAACAATACAATTCAGAGTGAAATACTTTTCATTCCATTTAAAAGCTATACTTAACTAATTGCTTTGCAGAAATAAGACATTAAATATACTAAATATATGGTCATACATTGTTATGTAGATTAACCTATTCCACACTGTGCTTATACAGTAGTTAAAATTAGCTTCACCTCAACCAGATTCAACTTTAAATTACTTGTTACTTGTTAATGCTTTAACAATAATATATTGCAATACATACATATTATATTTAAAATATAATAACTCTGTATGTGCGCAAGGTCACTTGCTCATGTTATAAATAACATCTTAGAAACAAACTGCATTGACAAAAATACTATCTTGTATTTATGTTTAAAGGGAAGACATTTATATTTACATGGCATCATCAGTATGAGGATCATTCATCAAGTTAAAATAATGAAAGAAGAAATGTGGTTAAAATTGAACAAATTGATGTAAAATCTTGCTTTTCTTGCTTCACATCTGAACTTTTGACATAGTAGCAGAAAAATCAAAGGTGAAATTATTAACTTTAAAGAGGTCATATTATCCTTACTGGCTTTTCCCCTCTCCTTTATTGAGTTATATACCTTTTTTGTGAATGGAATAGGTTTGCAAAGTGAAAAAGTCCCCACAGAAAACACCGCTCTGAACTGCCTGGAAACAGCTCGTTTGTAGTCCAGCCTTTTCTTCCGCTTTCTGGTGACGTCACAAGAAAATACGGGTCATAATGCTCGCCTATCGGCTAGTCAGACACGTTATTTGATTTGTTTGCCAAACCGAATAATTTTTTTGTTATTGCAGACATTAAATTCTTCATTATTATCTGCTGACTGACCTACTGAAGGTTTATTTTTATAAATAATGTTTAAAAAGCCAAAATTATTTTTGCAAATTAACTGCTATCAGAAAATTAAAACAGATTAAGGTGCAATTTAAAAGTAAAGTGAGTCCATGTGCGTAAAAAAAAATCACACCTTTTAATACTGGATTTTCAGATTACCTCTCCAAATTCCAAACGTATATATATAATAATGTAATAATGTAATGACTTAACTGTATAATCTTAACAGATTATATAGTTATGTCATTACATTATTATTATTACATCATAGCAGTTTTGGGGCAGTATTAAAACCTGACTTGACCCACCTACAGACCTGAGGGATCATTTGAATCAAAGCTTCACACAGCTGCATGATGTTATTGCCCAGCTGGTCTCCTGTGTGCTTCCAATATCTGGTATCAATTATGTGATGGATGATGAAACTGCAGTCTCAGAAAGCATACAGGCAAATAAAAATGGTTGTCAAAGCAGTATTTACATTTCGAAAAGCTAGCTTTAGTACATAGATTTGGTAAACTACACAATGGATCTAACACAAAAATGTACAAAGCTCTAACACAAAAATTATCATATTGCTTGTTGAGATTCAAGTAACAAAATTAAATCAGCTGAAGGTACGATATTTTCCACCAAGTCCATCACTAAGCACTAAAGTAAACAGCAATCAGTCAAATTTACATTGAAGGTTTCTTTGTCATGTAGTCAAGTTCATTCAAAGCGTGAAATATGTTTCTGGCTGTAGTCTTCTCTCCATCAGTACTGAGGAAGTCACTCAGGTGGGGGAGGCTGATAGCTGGGTCTGCGAGCAACCCGGCCCAGTCGGTCCACAGCCACACTCTCAAATGCCCTCCTCATCAAAGGATGCTCCTCTAGGACCTCGTTGAAACTGTCCACACTCAGGGAGTAAAGGCGACAGTAGGTCTCGGCCCTCACGGTAGCTGTGCGTCGTCCTTGGGTTAGCAGGCAGATCTCTAAACCAAGGAACAGAGAGTCAGTTTAACCTCTAAAGCAACAGTCTGATGCATTGAAGAACATGCTATGTTGCTTTCTCTCCAAGAGTCAAATAAGATGATTGATAACATTCATGTCTGTACAGTAAAGATTAAGCTACAGCTGGTTAGCTTATTTTAGCATAAAGGACAAAGTCGGGGTAGCCTTTGTTTCTAGTCTTTGTGCTAAGCTACAATAATCGGCTGCTGACCGTAGCTTCATATTAAGTGCACATATGTGACTGGCATCAACCTCCTCATATCAGCAAGAAAGCGAAGAAGCGTATCCCCCAAAATGTAGAAATAGTACTACCAGTGCTCCTTTACTTGTATCGTGTATTATTAACACTGATTACAAGCTAAAGAAATAGGAGTTACAGGAGAAATGCATAAGGTGCGACATGCAGCCTGTAACTGAAGCAACTCAGTTTGAAAGAAAATAGCAACATAATAATGATTAGGGGGGTTATAGAGAGGGAATTAAGTGTTGTTCATTACTCCTTAATCCATGATCAATACAGTGTTAAATGGTGCACTTTAATTCCCCTAAAGTAGGGATGTTCTGGTTAGAGCTGAAACAATTAATCCAGTAGTCACTCAACAGAGTCCAAGTCTTCCAAGAAAGTAAAGTAAATACATCATCAGCCATAATGTTGAAGGCCTCCCCTTTGTTGCCAAACTTTGAACTTACCCCCAAAATATGCTCCATCATTGAGCGTGATGTCTTTACTTCCACGTGGGATGACCGTGACAGTGCCGTGCTGGATGAAGTACATCTTCCGACCCAGTGTTCCTTCTCGTATAATCAAGTCTCCGGGTTGGAAGACTTCAAAACGCAGCTTGGTCAGGATGACTGTCACAAAATGAGGGTCAGTATTGGCAAACAGTGGCATGTTGGCTACAAGTCCACGACAGTTATAGCTTACAATCTCCTGCATGGTGGGAGACAAAGAAGAGGGAAGACATTAAAGAAATGTTTAGAAATCAATCGATTAGTCAAACTAAAAATTAATAGGCAACAATTTTCATAATATTTTTTAAAGCAAAAATGTCAACTCCTCAGTTGTTAAGATTTGCTGCTTTTCTTGGTCTTATATGATACTATCTCTTTATATAAATATATATATCAAACAGTTTTGCTCTGTTGACTAATCCATAAAATAATTTGCAACTTTTTTGGCAAACAATTAATCATTTTAGCCATTTTTAATAAATTTGAAAAATGAGTAAATATTCCAGCTTCTCCAATGTGAGGATTTTATATTATTGTAAACTGAACATTTTTGAGTTTTGGACTGTTGGTTGGACAAAACATGATGTTTGAAGACGTAACCTTGGACTAGCATTTTTCTGAAATTTTTCTGACTAAACCACTGATTGAAAAAAAAAAGAATGACCAGCAGATTCATTGATATATTGATTTCAATCTCATTGTTCAGGCCTACATTTGCATCTGTGTGGACATGTGTCAATAAAAGAGAGAAACAGAGAGAGAACAAGGAAGAGAAAGTCAAATCAAAGGTTTGATGAACAACAAACCTCCTTGAGCGGATCACTGAGCTCTCCGAGGATGCTGTCCTCATCGAACATCTTGCCTTGGAATCGCTGCTCGTAATAATCATGGATCCTCTGTCTCACATCCGCTGGCAGTTTATGGAACGACATGTACTGTTCCACTTGCTTATACTGAAAACATTTGTACAAAACACATGGTGATTTAACCTTCAAGGGGGCACATCTGAAATTCCACAGGGCTGATGTCAGATGTCACATCTAGTCACATTTCCTACCATGTGTTTGCTGAATTATTTCCACACACAATAATTATGCATTATTCTGTTTGTTTTGGAGGGTTTCCCCGCCTCCAGTTTTAAGTGGATTACAAACTCATTTGTAATGGGCATTAGCAAACAGTGATCCAGAACAAAGGTGCCGCCATTAGTCTATCATCCATTCTGCTTTATCTTGTGAAAATCCCCATGGAAAAGGTCACAGTAAGGTTACACAATTCATTAGATAATACACATATTCTCTCGGCATTTGGCACAGTTTCCACGAATAAAGTACGAGCAAGTAAGCAAGCTTATGATATAAGCTACATACATGGCTGTGATATTAAACCTCAACGCCAGAATCACATTTGCATCTACCTGAAGCTCCTGGGAAACACAACAACTGATGCTATAGATCAAAATGTTTTAGTTTGTTAATCTTTCCACGACAGTGCAGAGATGATTACCTTCTCTTGATACTGCCGATGTGATGCATCCAAGGACTGGACCAGGGTAGTTGCATGACCAAGGAACATGGCGTAACAGGTGGCCCCCACGACCATACTGATCATGGTGAGCCAAACGTCAGTCATGCCTTCTGGAGGGTGGGCACCGTATCCTATACAAAGCATGTGACTCATGGCCATAAACAGGGCGTAGGAGTACTGTAAGTGCCATGTCGAATTCTGAGGATAGAGTACAAAGGGGACAGGACACAGAGAAATGAGAAAATATACTTTACTATGATTATAATTAAATTGGACAAATTAATGCAGAGTAAGTGGCATTATTTTTACATTACTTTACAGATAAAGGTCTGCTAGGTTCTTTGGAATTAATGAAATTTGATATTATTAAGAAAATGAACATTCAAGCAACAGCCAGCTGCAGGTTAGCTTAACTTAGCACAAAGATAGAAAATAGCTAGCCTGGTTCTGTTCTAAGGAGATTCCGGGAAGTTACTGTGCTTGTCCTGCATTTATGTAAAACCATAAAGGGTCATTTTTATACTTTGTTCTTTGTAGGGTTCAAACAAACAAATATAATGTGTTCGTAAGTGAGCCTCAAGTGTGCTGGTAGGTAGATTATTACTTTTAGACACTGCCAGGCTGTTTTCCCCCTATTTCGAGTCTTTGTGCTAAGCTAACTGGCTGTAACTTCATTAGAAACATTGGACTTGTATTATTCTTCTCATTTAACTCTCAGGAAGAACGCAAGAAACATATTTCTCACAATGGCAAAATAATCCTTTAATTAATTAATTCAAATAACTTGTCAGTATAACCTAGAGTCAGTGCACAGCAAGGTCAGCTGAACATCGTATTGTGCGGGTATTTACTTAGGCTTAATTGAATTTTATCTGTAAAAATGAACTTTCCCCATAATTAGGATATCAATTTTTGCAGGACACTTCATGGGAATTTGTTACAACCCCATATGCAAAGATTTACCAGATTTAAATATAATATAGTGTGAGATGCATTATATTAATAAACACGTACGCACCACCATATTATTTTTAGATACCCAACAGTCTTGGGGGAACTCTTGCAGCATAGGCACCATGAAGGTCAGGCAGCCATCCCAGTGGCACAACAGCAGCATCATGCCAATCAAGTTGACTATTCGCACCACAGCGCTGGCCAGGTCATAGGTCATATGGAAAATCTGACACAGAGAAAGTTGTATGTAGGAAAAGAACAACATTATACTGGACTGGACTGATGTGTACTGTTCTGCATGTCATGAGCTTTTCTCTATCATCCTGTTTCTAAGCACATGTCCTTTTCCTTTACCTCTTCCCACTGGTGGATGTAGCGGATGAGGCGAGACAGTCGGAGAAGACGCAGCAGACTGAGGATCTTGGTGAAGCGCACAATGCGGAGGGCGCGGGCGGTGCGGTACACGTCAGACGACTCGTGTCGGGACTCCAGGTCAACAATGAGGAAGATGTAGTCGACTGGGATGGAGGAGATGAAATCCACCAAGAACCAGGTGCGGAGGTAGTGCATGCGGATATCTTTGGGGTCCAGGAGGATGTGGCTGTCCTCACCTGGGATGCCCGTGCGGAAATTGAAAACCAGGTCCATGAGGAAGAGTGTGTCAGACAGGACGTTAAAGGTGATCCAGGGTACGGTGTTCTGGTCTTCGAAGAAGGTGATTCCCCAGGGCAAAATGACCAGATTGCTCATCATCAACAGGAGCATCACGATGTCCCAGTAAAACCTGGAAAGAACAGACGTGGCAGTTGTACAGAGTGCAAATTAAAAATGAACTTTTTGCTCCTTATTAATAAAACAATAAAGGTTCTGTTAACAACTTACAAGTTGAGGTTTATGCTCCTGGTTAATACAGTCAAGTTCATTCTTATTATAGTTACGTACAAAACAAGGAGTGACAGCTGGTGTGTGTATGGACAAAAACAGTAGTGGATTATTAGTAACTGTGAAGTTCACTCAAAATGTTTGATTCTCCTTCAAAACAATAGTAGCTGTCACATTGTGGTTAAACCTAAACACACACTTAAATTGTTCTGGTAAATGATAATTTTCAAAGAAAGCCAGAGGGAAATTAGTAAAAGAAACAATCAAATATTCCTATTTGTATCAGTTGAAAATTTGAAAGCTAAGAATGAATAAAATGTGTGTGATAAATCATGTGCAAGCTTTACATACAAATCAAATACATTACAAACTTACTGAAAGCACTGTAAACACAGGAACAAGTCCTCTTACTGGCTTACACATTTAAGTGTTCTTGGTTCATACATGTGCATGTGGATATGAGCGAATCCTGGTATTGATGCTGTAATCAAATCGCCCACAGAGCTCTGCCAAGGTTAAAGGCCTTATCCCTGTATGTAGCATAAGGCTTATTGTCAAAGTCCGACACTGAAAGTAACAAAGAGTTTAAAAGATTGAAACCTCTCTCAGGTCTGCGCGATAATTATGAAGCTGGAACCGAGAGATGTTTAGCTTACTTTAGCTCATTGCCTAACTGGTAGCCATTACTCCTTGTTAAATCACAACTTTTCATGTTTACATTTCTGTTTATGTATGAATTGGTAGGAAATTTATTTTATCTTTAGACGCAGCCAGGTTAGTTATATAACCCTTTTTCTGGTCTTTACGATAAACAAGGGTTTTCGTCTCCTTTTTTGTAGCTCCACACTTACTGGATAGATGTGAGAGTGATCTTCTACTCTATTATACTATAAGCAAGAAAGCAAATAACCTTTTTTCCTGTCAAAACAATTCCTTGAAGTTAGGGGATTTGAAACAACTAGGTCAAGTGAAGTCATCCAATCAGGAGGACAGTGTGCCGTCCAGGGAATGACCCATTTCAGAGTGTCCCTTATTCTCATAACAACTCATGTCATAGGAGGAACCCCTCTCATTAAATATGTATGGTGTTTACCTCATCAGGTTCAATACACTATCATAGAAGACACTAAATGGTCGGATTCAGGAGGTGGAATCCCAGGAGTCTGTGCTGTACATATCTGCACTGATCATCTTGTCATTCAAGTCCCCATTTTCTTTTGGCTCTCCAGTGTCTCGTACACCATGGCTGAACAGTTTGGGTTTCCTTACAGATTGTTTCCACCTTGTGTCAATCATTTTGGGTCTCTCTCGTGCTCTCATTACAGCCACGGTAACAGGATATGAACCAGACTCTTTTTGATTACCGTCACACCTTCACTGATCGCAAGATGAACCCTGCGAGAAAACAACCTTCTTCTTAAGCCAATCAGAGCAGAGATACAGGAACTGATAGATAAGTTCCTGATTCTCATTCGCGTTTATCCTTCCGTCAATCTCTTGCATCCATGTCCTCTGTGTCTACACGCTGGTTTACATCACTACTTATCATCTCCCCTCATGTTGCAACAGATTAGTGGTTGCTTGCTGCTAATAACCCAGCCAAAGACTCTGGACTCTGGCATTATAGCTGTTTACATGACGTGTGTGTGTGTGCATGTACACTATATGAGTGCTAAAGTATGAGTGTGTGAGAGAGAAGCAGAATTAATTCTAAAACCTTTTAGATGAGCTATTAATAACAGTGGGGATGGAACAGCAATAGGAATGTGGTTTGATAGCGTTTATGTTGAATCTGAATCCACTTATCACTAAGTTTAGTTTGTACCTTCTTAAAGCTGCAAAGTTATAAATAACTAAGAAAATCTGACATTCAAAGAACTAAAATTCTAACTACTAACAGGTTTTGACAGGTGGGTTACATATTTGATTTTTTTCATTGAACCTTTTAGTCATGCTAGTGTCATAACTGCAATGTTGGTCCAGACTGAATTATGTCAACTATTGAATAGATTGCCATGAATGTTTGTATAGAAATTCGTTTTCCTCAAAGAATGAGTGACTTTGGTTGATCCAATGACTAATTCCTCTAGTGCCACAACGACATTTATGATTTTGATTGAAATATCTCACTATTGGATGGCTTGCCAATAAAGTTGGTACAGACATTCATGTTTTCCACCGGATGATAATCATTTTGGGGATCCCCTGACTTTTATCCAGCGCCGTCATCGGGTCAAAATGGTAATTTGTCCAACATTTTGATTTATGACCAAATACCTGCAAAACTGAAGACACCGGCCTCAGCTCTTTGTCTTTAGTGCTAATTAGCAAATGTTAGCATACTATAACGCTAAACCAAGACATGGCTTCCGTAAGTTGGCATACTGATGTTGAGCATTTATCTCAACACATCTACAGCTCATTGACAACTGAGCAAAGTCCATCTGCTGATGAAAACCATGTCACACCATTACTCCAGAGCAAGCGAGTAAGTGGACTAAGTGTTTTTTTGACCACCTAAATGTTCTATAAAAACAAAAAGGGAAGAGATAAAGATGTGAGAAAGAGGTGGCCTATTGTAGGCCTACTATATAATTTTATTGAAAAAATAATTTAATGTGATCATAACGCCCTATTTTGGATTCCAGCGTGGGGCCTTTATTGCATGTCATTCACCCTCATTTCCTGTCACTTCTCTATCATCCATCTCTGAATAAAAGTCAAATATGCCGCACTCTTTCTATAAGAGGGTCATGAGACTCTGAGATCGACAAATGTGCTTATTTACCAACTTTAAATTGGATTCAAAATATTAAATGGAAAGCTGAGCAACAAAAACCTGCTGTTCCAACTCACTCATTTTATAGGGGAAGTTGGAGCATAAGGTTTAAGGAGAGCAGGCCTTCAGTAATCCCCCCCTCAGCTGTCTGTGTATTATTGCATAATAGAGCAAGATTGGAATTATAGAGATTCTTATGGGCAATAATCCCTCTGCACGGGTTTATCCTCTCTGTCTGGCATAGGCTTGATGTTTAAAAATTGTTTAAATTTGATGGCGGCTATTATTAGTGACGGCACAGATGGATTGCTTGGGCATCACTGCTTAGATGTAATTTATCTGAAAAAAACCCAGAATGATCGGACAAATCCTGCAAAGGCGAGGCAAAATTACAGCAAGAATTTATTGCATTTTTAAAAAACACTTAAATTGTCAGGATCAATGACTACAGTTCTGCCTCCTCATTAACAAGGTGAAAGGGAGTCACCAGTGGTATCATTAATCCAGATGATCTTGTCCTATATACTGTATCACTAATCAAATCCCTTCATCGCCTTATCATGTGCAAGGAACCATGACTGCTGTACTGCAGCCTGTCCTTGGAAAATCTGAGCACTGTTGCAGGCTGTTTAGTCAGCTGAAACCTGGATGCTTCCATGGGATGTTTATGAAAGAAAGACGATGAATTGGGACTCTTGTATTGACAAAAGGTTACTGACTTGTGTTTCAACGATTCTGCATTTCTTTGAATTTTTTTTAAATGAATTTCCTGTAGACAAATTCTCACAAACATCACTTAACATAATAGGAAACTGAGGTTTGGGAATATAACCCAGCCTCTTCATTACCTGAAGTCACTGTAGGGATGGATGATCCAAACTCCAAAGCTTTTGACCCTGGCCTGCTCAGCAGCAACACCCTTATGACTGCCAAACATGCGCAAGGAGAACTTGTTGACCCCAGGCTGCAGCATGGTTCCAAACTGTCTCTGGAAGTAGGTGGACTGGTCCTGTGGGAGGTCTTGTTCAGCTTCTTCGCCATCCACACTGGCATCCAGCAGGCCATCGGGATCCGCTGTGTAGTCGTCATTGTGAGTCTGGACCAAGGAGAAGAGCGTTTTGGTCACATCGGTCCCCTTCTTGTCTGTCTTTGGGGAAGGGGTGCCAGGGGGGCTCGTCCTCTGGGAGCCACTTCTCCATCTTGAGAACCGGAGGCTGCTCCAGCTGCGGTACTTTGGGGTCTCCGGTTTGTGAGCTGGGCTCTCACCGATGCCTTTCTGGTCATCTGTACTCCTGGAGAGGCTGGTCATTTTTACACCTTGCATTTAAAGTGGGCAAAGCAAAGAGGGCTCTATTGTCCCTGTGATTTGGCTTGTGGGGCCCTGATTGTAAAGTTCACTTACTAATATAATTTACTGCACCTGCCATTTCCTTTTGGTGTAAGGGTTAACTTCTCTTACAAAAAATAACTATCCTGAAACACTTCCAAGCAGGATGTAAAAATAAAAACCTATAAAGGCCTATAAAACAGTGACACAACAGAAACTAAAAAAGTAGCCTACCACGTCATTCTTAGTTCTCTACAGAGTATCACATAGCCTACACATCGCAACACTTAAATCGTATATAGACCTGACAGAAACAATGACTTTCCCCACACGACTAATTTCAAAATAAATCCATAAAAAGTTGCATTAAAAAAGCACTTCTCCGTGATGACTGAAGCCCACTCCCCGTTAACAACAAAAGCATCAGCCTCAGATGCATTGTGTCCTTCGACCATGAGAGGACGGACGCAAATTGAGAGAGAGAGGGCTCAGTAGCCTTCAATAATCGGCTTGTTGGCATAACTGCGTCCTTACCTCTCTGCTCCTCCCTCCTGCTCTCGATGGAAGTGCCCTCCCTCCCTGCTCTGGGACGTGTCCCGGACTGGCGGTCCGGCTGCGGGTCATGTTGCGCAGCCTTGACCGGGACCCTCCTGGCCAGCACCAACTGAAACACAATGAATTATCCTCAAACGTTTCGTGAAAAAAACTACACGCGGTTATTTTTCTCCTTTTTTATTTATTTCCTTTTACCTTATTATGTAGCCTCATTTATACCAAAACCCCTTCAGTAGTTAAGGGAGTAAATCATTAAGCAATGTAGGCCTACATTAATTCTACTTTTTTTATTTTTATTTTTTGGATCAAACTGGGATATTTATGCCTTTCTATAGGCTAATAGAAAGTGTAAACTGTGAAAAACAGAGGGTGTCTTATGCCATAGCCTACAGAGTGTAGCCTAAATCCCCCTGAGGCCAATTTTCTATTTGTAATATTGGGCTTTAAATTGACTTAACTCTATAACTATAACTATAAAATAAGGGGTTTTAATGCCTTTTGTGTGCTTAATAACTAGCTAAAATTAAATTGGCTAACACCATAGCGTAGGCGATGTGACAAAGTAATCAATATGTTTCATTCAATAATTACAATTGTTTTGTCTTTAAAACACTAGTTTCTTAAATTAAAAAAGTTTCAAACCTTAGGCTAGCTTTAATGGACCCTCAATTCGGGGGAGGAAATCCCCACAGAGGCTAACCAAACCATTAATAAATTCCTAAAAGGAAGTGTTTGACAGTTTAGGAAATAGGCTACACTTATCTTTTTGACAGAGTTAGATGTGATCGATAGACACCAATCTCATGCCTGTATGGTTAATATGAAGCTACAGACAGCAGCCGATTACCTTAGCTTAGCATAAAGACTAGAAACAGCTAGCCTGGCTCTGTCCAAAGGTACTAACTTTGCCTACCAGCACTTGAAAAGCGCACTAATCAACATATCATATCTTGTTTGTTTAATTTGTAGAAAAGCTGGGGCTGGGACTTCCGGGGAGTATCAGCCTTCTCATCTAATTATCTTTTGTAATTGTTATTATCTCATTATTGGTTTAGTCCAGTGGCTTTCCAACTTTTGACGCTTTCACTGATGACACTTTCTCCTTTCCAACAATGCTTCACCATTGCAGTGAGCAGCTGAAGGTGGGGGTTCACTGCCTTTACAGCGGTGTCACTCCTGCTCTTTCCCCATCCAGGTTTTTCCAGCAACTCTGTGGATCTGGGGATTAAAACTAGAAATCACAGGCTCACACATTTTTGGATGATTGACCTGATTCTGGTACGCTGACACAAGGAAAAGGACAAACTTGTTTTTGTTTGGTAGTTGTACCTTGAAAATGTAATCAGTTAGTCCACTTGTTAGAGGGAAATACTGTAATGCATTGTTAATTAGTTAGACCTATATGTTTTAATTGTTGCTACGTAAAATCAGATGAGGGCGAACCTGATAGAAAACTAGAATTCTATGTTAATTATTTTTTTTAATGGATATACTGTTTACTAAAAGTACAAGAAGAACAATGCTGTAAATATTCAAATTTATATATAATATATACCTAGATTAACCTATATAGATATATAATTGTCTGTGACCAGTTTAGTCTCTATTATATAGACATCTTTATCGTACTAGATCACATTTCACTGTTATAGGCTCATGCACTCTCTGAAGTGGCAGGTGTCATGTTCACATTTACACCAGTAACTCCGACACTCTAACAGGCATACTTGCAGTAGGAGTTGCAGTCACTGTTACTGGGTCACTCTTTAAGCCAGTTACTTTAGTGTAGTGTTTCAGATGTCACAGTCATCAGTTTGTCAGTAAACACTACATTTTTTAAAAATTTCTCTCTTTAAAACACTATATAGTAGGAAAACTAGTACAATCAAAACATCAACTGCAATGTGGGTGCAAACAGCACAGAAAAAGTCCTGCAGGCACACAAATATCAAGTAAAATCAAGATGGATGACTGAACTGAAGTGTTCTGATACCAAAGAATATAATGTGATATGTAGGCCTATAAGTGTCATGATTGTTTGGTGTGTTTTGTACATCTTCAAGAAGTTTACTATATATAGGAAGTGTATATAGAAATTTCTTGAGCAGAAATGCCCAAGGATGCAAAATGAATTTCAGTGTAAACTGACAATACAGTTGTAATGTATTGTGTTAATAATATGTTATTTATATAGCACCAATAATTATAGTAAAAATAGTAAAAATAATGATGGCAATAAGACTAATAAAAATAATTGTAGAGGTGGGTGTCGAGAAGGGACATGAGGTCAGCAGGCGGCCTGCAACCACAGATCCAGGCTCTACAGCTCCTGAGGCAGAAACACCTGCAGAAAGTGACATGAGGAGAGAGGAGAGGGATGAGAAAGCATAAAACTACGGCAGGAGGAAGACGTTGAGTTATTAAAATGCATTAGTGGGATATAAATGCATACAAATGGAGAGGGAGAGGAGGAGAGAGGAGCTCAGTGCATCATGGGTAGTCTTCTGGCAGTTTAGGCCTATTGCAGCACAACTATGGAGGTCCTAACTATAAGCTTTATCAAAGGCAAAAGTCTAAAGCCTACTCTTACATGTGGAGATGGTGTCTACCTCCTGAACCTGGGAGGCAAAACCGGGACATTTAATTACAGCTACTTTAAAGTACTGTGGTACATAGCCTGTTGGTGAAGACAGATTTATCATATCTAATAAAGAAGTGCAGACTAAGGGTAAAGCTTCTTTAAGCAGCTTACTTGGGATGGGGTCTAAGATTGTTAGGAGAATAACAGTCATACTATATATCATATATCGTCTCACCTAGACTACTGCAACAGTCTGTTCTCAGGTCTAAATAAAAAAACTTTGAACCGCTTACAATTAGTGCAGAACTCAGCTGATGGAAGTATGACCATATCACTCTGATTTTATTCTCATTACATTGGCTCCCTGTCTGTTTTAGGATTGATTTTAAGTTCTTATTGATTACTTTTAAAGCTCGCAATGGCCTGGCTCCAGAATATATTTGTGACCTCTTAACCCCTTACGAACCTGTATGCAGCCTGAGATCCTCCAGCAGGGGTCTCCTGTGCATCCCTGAGGCCAGGCTGAATTCTAGAGGAGATAGAGCCTTTGCGGTAAGGGCCCCAAGGCTCTGGAATGATCTGCCTGATGACGAGTCGGTGACGAGATGAGTCGGTGTCTTCTTTTAAGTCTCGCCTGAAAACGTATTTATTCAGGAAAGCGTTTTCTGATTTTATCTGATTGGCTAGCTGTTTTATTGTTTTATTTTCATTTTAATTTGTGCGTGCTTTGTCTTATATCAATGGTGTCTTTTTAACTGTTTTTTTAATTGTTAATTTAATTGTTAATTGTTCTTTATCTTCTGTGAAAGCACTTTGTACTCTGTTTGATAAAGCCCTAACAAATAAAGTTATTATTATCATCAGGTTTCCAAGGTTCCTAAGTTTGAAGATAAGTCAGTACCAGTTCAAGGCAGGAGGTTATGAATTTAGTCTTAAAATTTCATCATTAAAGAAGCTCATGAAGTCGTTGCTACTTAGGGCTATAGGAATACATGGCTAGAGTGCTGAAAGAAGCCTAGGGTTGTTCTTATTTTCCTCTATTTATGAGTAATACGCTGCTCTGGCATTACGGAGGGCTTTCCTATATGTTTTAAGATTATCTTGCCAGATTAAACAAGATTCCAGATCTGTGGAACGCCATTTCCTTTTAAGTTTTTTAATTTGCTACACCGTGGAGCTAACGTTCTTTTTTAGAGTGTCGAGTGTCATTGAGCCTACAGCACTATTAACAATATGACCAATTTGGGACTGAAGTTAGCATAGGAGTCCTCTCTTATTTTGAGACATGGTATTGAATTAAATGCTGATGGAATTTAGCTACAGCACTATCAGATAGACATCTAGTAGGCCTATAGGATTTTTTTCCCGAATGGTATGTAGTCCAGTTATAGGAATTTGTAAGTAATTAAACAGTGGTCTGATAAAATAAGAGGTTTAACTTTCTATCTGTTACACAGATTTGTCAGCCAGCCTGAAAACTTGAAACACTTTTTTTTCTCATCTTCACTCTTTCTGCAGTTACAGCTCTCTGCCTTTGTAGGGCAGTGCTGTATGTAGCATTTCCCAACTTGAAAATAACCAACTTGTGTTTCTTGTGGTAAGTCTGTTGCTACCATCACTTTAAGTATGTAGACTATGAGTTGTGTCAGAATGGAAAGCTAAACAAGCAACAGCAAAGAGGGGCAGGCGATTTTGGATTCAGCCCCTCATGATTTCTAAAATCCTGGCTATAGTCCTGGTAACCTACAGTTTTTTTTTAATCTTAAGAAAATACCCCCACTCCACACCATCACATGTAAAAATGTCATTATTCAATCATTTGAATAAAGTTTAATAGTTTGTGGAGCTGTATGTGTTGGCCTTTCACACAGATGGTAATGTGAAGATGTCAGATGAGGAGACAGAGACAAAAAAAAAGAAAAGGAAACATAGTCTGCATGTTTTTTTAATATAACCTGTGACACCAACCCCTCAGGCAGAGAGAAACTGGAGTCGTGTGACAAAGAAATATGAATAAGGAATATATAAGTTGCTCAAACAGTGCCACTGAATCCGAAAGTGATTGGATAGGAGAGTTTCAATTCAGTCAACTAATCTGTGAAGTGATCTGTGTATTCCATGTGCACTGTAACATTGTAGCTGTACTCTGTGTAGTGCCTTCATGAAATACCACAAAAAACAAACCA